CACGGGTCAGGAGTTACGTGGGACCTATATTGTGATCCAATAACCTCAGAGGCGGTCCGAGCTAGACAGCTACTTTCCATCTGATTCACTTCAACATTTCAATGTCAAACATTAGGATGAGGGCCAACCAAAATAACACGGCTAGGATCAGGGAAACAAGGACCATCTTTCTAAAGCCTCTTAGTTTTACGTGTCCGGGAGAACCACTGACCTTCAACTCTTCGGACAGACCTTCTAGCCATTTGACCACGGGAGTGCTTGCTTGCTTGCTTTATGTTTAAGGACGCACTCAGCACTCCGCAACCAAACTCAAAGTTAAAAAAATCTGAAAACAATGTCATGCTTCTGAAATCCTAAACAGTTCTCTTGAAGACTTGGTAGTTTGTTTATTGTAAAATGACAGCTAGATGACGGCGACAATCTGAACCAGACAATCCAGTGATTGACATCATGAGCATCGATCCATGCAATTGGGATACGATGACATGCATCAACCAAATCGGCGAGCCTGACTACCCGATATATTCATTATCATAATCAGACTCCGTGATCATGACTGGGTTGTGTGTCGTCGTATCTCCATGGCGCTGGTGGGTGAACCAAAAATCAAACATTGGTGTGTCGGGTACATGAATGAGTGAGTGAGTGAGTGAGTGAGTGAGTATGGTTTTACGCCGCTTTTAGCAATATTCCAGCAATATCACGGCGGGGGACACCAGAAATGGGCTTCACACATTGTACCCATGTCGGGAATCGAACCCGGGTCTTTAGCGTGACGAGCGAACGCTTTAACCACTAGGCTACCCGACCGCCCCGGGTACATGAATGAACTGGCTTATTGACTTTGCATACTTATCATATCTCCCCCTTCTCGAGACACAGGGGGCCAAGTTGACTGCTGGGTTAAACGAACATTTTAAGCAGTGAAAGGTGAGAGTGCACAACGCTCATAAAGATACACAAACTGGTCAATGGCCGTACAGGTGACCACATGAATAATTAATACAGGTAAATACGGCAAGGAGACACACCCCATGACCCTTGCACCAATTGTTCTCGCGGTACTTACCGTATTAATCATTATAAGTCAATTAGTGTATTGAAAGTGTCAAGTGACTGTTCACGCTCCGATTATCAAAGACAGCAGGCAATTAAGCATTGCTCTTCATTCATAGTTGAGATCCGAGAAGCTATCAATAATTCATATGTCTGATTCATTAACGAATGAGTGTTTACAGCAAAATAAACATGTTTTACTTAAAGCAATTGAATCCCTACCACATGGGAATCGTGATGAACGTTTTCACCGAATGACTCTACATCCATACAAGGATTAGAAGCTACACAAGAATGGGGACATATTGACAATATTCAAAGGAACTCTTGATGACGCATTTAGAAACGAGAGTGCCATATCGGCAATTATTTTAATCCGCTTTGGAACACTTATGGAAAAATTTGGTGTACAAAGTTCAAGACAATACCTACAATTTGATTGTTTGTTATTTTACACCATACTCAGCAATTTTCAAGATATATCCGGGCGGCCTGTGATAATTCAGATCCGGGCCAGATCCGATGTGGTTCATATCATGAACAACGTCCGACGCTTTCGAAGTACGACACGCAATGAGTGTGAGAGTATTTGTTTACGCCGCTTTTAGCAATATCAGGGCGGGGGACACCATAAATGGGCTTCACACATTGTACCCATGTGGGGAATCGAACCCGGGTCTTCGGCGTGAGGAGCGAACGCTTTAACCACTTGGCTACCCCACCGCCCCGACACGCAATGCATCCAATCACCAAGTCTGACACCTGATCAACTCTGGTCGCCTTTCATGACAGCAATGGAGTTTCAGCTTATAATCTCGATAAACAAGCATAGGTAACCGTACGCACAACGTAGCTGAACACAAATAAACTTATTTTTATTCAGCCATGTATCCTACGATATACTAGGCGCCTTTGAGCCACACATTTCTTATTATTCACGGACCCGGCGCCTATACTTTAAAGTAGCAGGAAATGAGTAAATTAAACGCAAACAAATATATCTTATTATGTCTCCCGCGAGTTATATAGACCCTTTTATTAAATATGACAGTTACATATAAATTCCATGTCTAAATAACTATCAGTGTGATTCAAGAAGTCAGTGGTAGTTTTAACTCCACGGCAGAATGAATTCAAATAAAAAAAATAGATTGACATAGCTATTCATTTCCATTTTAACCAACCTTGTGTGGAAAAGCTGGAATAAATCCGTAAAAAATCACGTGCCCAATGACGCTAATTAAAGGGAGGTAGCTGAGGTGAGACGCGTGTGATGTAATATTTTATGTGTGGTTCAATGTCGCCCCCAAACGGTTTTTTTTCGGTTCAAATCGTTTGCAATCTCATTAAAATCAGATCTTAGTTCTCGCTATCGCTAAACAAAGATCTGAGGGCATCCCATTACGGGTCACGTCAGAACGAAAAATAGATGCACTCTGCTGGTTTGAGTGTGTTATGGAAGCCCATTTTAGGGCACAGTGTATATTTCATATTTTAAAAATTCAAATTCTTATTCTTAACTAAAAAGTAAAGCCTAGGGAAATTAATTTCCTGAATACAGTTTATCTCAGCTATTCAACATAGTATCTTGAATTTTCAACTTAATAACATGAATTTCCTAGATAAGAACTTGAATTTTCAACAAAATATCTTACAACAAGCATAGTGGCCTTTTACAGCAAGCAGTTGATGAAGACCTATTCTACCCTGGCCCTTTACAGATCGTATATTATACATGAAGTGAGGAGACAAGCATGTGTTGCTGAAGACCAATTCTAGCCCCTATCTTCACGGGGACTGTCTGTTCATCCTAGTCTGGTCACTATATGGCTGAAACAATGCTGATGTGCCGTTAAATTTTAACTCACTCATCCCAGTGTGATTTGAATGTTCCCTGAACCATGCTGCATTCTATTACAATAACTGAAAAGTCATCAAAAAAATATAAAAAGAAATAATATACATGAATATATATATTTTTATCAAGCCAAACAAATAAATACAGGCATGGTGTATATGTGTCAACTTGTCTGTGTAACCAAATGGATAATATCTGTCTTTTCTATTCTAATCAGACACATGCAGGGTTTTTATATCTTAATGAGTGTGTTGGGGGAGGGGGAACACATTTTTGATGTTTTACCTTCAGGGGTGTCGCGGGTGTGGTGGGCAGCTGCAGGGATGAGGTGAATTTGTAACTTGTTAATGTATAGCTGGAGATACTGATGAATTCCTCTGTACTTCAATGGTACATTGAATGTCCAGTCAACTCTATAATTGGTTTTTCACTCTACCTCAATAATCAAGAGATTGAACAACTGAATTTACATCGTGAAAAGACATTTACCTGTGCCATAAATCTTTTCAAGCATCTAGCACACAATCAGTTACAATCCTCAGTGTTGAGTTATTCTCCATGGGCCGGTTAAATTCACTCAGTAATGCTTATCAGTGACATCCTGTAACTGAAAACATCAAACGCAGGCTCAATAATCATTAATGTGTTTTTAAAAAACAAGTGCTTATAAGTTGGTGGGTTGGTTTGTTGTTTAACCCCGCACTCAGCTATATGACAGCTGTCTGTAAATAATCGAGTCTGGACCAGACAATCGAGTGATTGATATCATGAGCATCGATCCACGCAATTGGGATCGATGACATGCATTAACCAAGACAGCAAGCCTGACCACCCAATCCTGTATGTCACCTCCTATGACAAGCATAGTCGCCTCTTATGACAAGTGCATATTAAGGTAACTCAGTGCATATATATTTTTTTATAATTAGGTTTATGAATTTGCCTGATTGACACATGCTGGAACAACAGCAGAAACAAAAAATAACAGACAAATAGGATCAATTTAATCTTATATTTGCTCAACCAAAGCCATGCCAGACAAAAGTAATACACATAAACCTTACTGTAACAATATTTCCCTCCACTAAATTGAATGTCCCTTCAGCTCCACTGTCACACCCCTCCTCTACCTCACTCTTTTCTTTCACAGCCCTGCTCCCCTCTCCCATACATACTGCTCCACTACCCCTCCTCCCCATCTCCCACCCACATCCCTGCTCCCCTCCCCCCAAACCCCCAAATCTCCCACCCACATCCCTGCTTCCCTCCCCTGCAAACCCCCTCATCTCCCACCCACATCCCTGCTCCCCTCCCCCCAAACCCCCAAATCTCCTTCCCTTCATCTCCCCCCCCCCCCCTTCACACACATCCCTTCTCCCCTCCCCTCATCTCCCTGCTCGACCCCCCATCTCCCTGCTTCTCCACACCCTTCAGATCCCTCTCCCTCCCTGCCACGCTCTTCCCTTTAGTCCCACCCTGACTCTACCCTCCTCACCACACCCCTACTCTCTGCTATCTTACAGGTACCTCCCATCTCCCTGCTTCTCCACACACTTCAGATCCCTCTCCCTCCCTGCCACGCTCTTCCCTTTAGTCCCACCCTGTCTCTACCCTCCTCACCACACCCCTACTCTCTGCTATCTTACAGGTACCCCCCATCTCCCTGCTTCTCCACACACTTCAGATCCCTCTCCCTCCCTGCCACGCTCTTCCCTTTAGTCCCACCCTGTCTCTACCCTCCTCACCACACCCCTACTCTCTGCTATCTTACAGGTACCCACCATCTCCCTGCTTCTCCACACACTTCAGATCCCTCTCCCTCCCTGCCACGCTCTTCCCTTTAGTCTCACCCTGTCCCTACCCTCCTCACCACACCCCTACTCTCTGCTATCTTACAGGTACCTCCCATCTCCCTGCTTCTCCACACACTTCAGATCCCTCTCCCTCCCTGCCACGCTCTTCCCTTTAGTCCCACCCTGTCTCTACCCTCCTCACCACACCCCTACTCTCTGCTATCTTACAGGTAACCCCCATCTCCCTGCTTCTCCACACACTTCAGATCCCTCCCCCTCCCTGCCACGCTCTTCCCTTTAGTCCCACCCTGTCTCTACCCTCCTCATCACACCCCTACTCTCTGCTATCTTACAGGTACCTCCACATCAGAACTCTCAGTCTCAGGTAAATCAACTAAACTTTTCTCTTCTAACTTCTCAATCAGAGTATTGCGCCCTCTGCGTAACAACTTGGCATGTTTCCTTGATCTGTAGTCAAAGTCAAATATGAAAGCATGCTGACAGCAAATGTCATTGTAGGCGCTGCACAGTTTGCTGAAGTCCCGCAGCTTGAGTTGTGGGGGACGGGACGAGGGGTCAAGGTCACTCCTCTCAAACATCTCAGCAGTGAGTTCTGGCATGTCCACAGGAAACAATGTCCTGGAACACACAGGTCATGGTACATTCCACTGGTTCAGGTGGAATCCAGTGTCTACACTCAGAAAGGGAGGTAACCCTAACGGAGAGTTCAGTTATTCTAGTTTGTTTCTTGTAATTTCTAAAACACATTCCCAATATGTTAGCTTGGTGAACAACTTGAAAACAAATGCTTTATCAGGAGGACTACAAATAAAACAATAAAAAGTACTATCTACTTGCTGTTAAAAAAACAAAAAAAATAATTCAGTAAATTCTTGTTACTGGCAACACTTCACAGGTTTTCAAACAGTAAAGTCCTCCATCACTCCTGAATACATAAGACCACTTCCGTGTGTAGTAGTGACATGCGTCTATGGTCAGTCAATTAAAGAAAGGACATGGTCATTAGTCATGGTAACCATTTTCCTGAGTACATGTCCTCTGCCATCATATGTTACGCCCTACAGACCTAGGCGTACACTTACGCTACTGTTCAAGGTATACATTTTCCAGAGTACATCTCCTCCGCCATCACGTTACGCCCTACAGACCTAGGCGTACACTTACGCTACTGTTCAAGGTATACATTTTCCCCAGTACATCTCCTCCGCCATCACATGTTATGCCCTACAGACCTAGGCGTACACTTACGCTACTGTTCAAGGTATACATTTTCCCCAGTACATCTCCTCCGCCATCACGTTTCGCCCTACAGAGCTTGGTGTACACTTACGCTGCTGTTCAAGGTATACATTTTCCCCAGTACATCTCCTCCGCCATCACGTTACGCCCTACAGACCTTGGCGTACACTTACGCTACTGTTCAAGGTATACATTTTCCCCAGTACATCTCCTCCGCCATCACGTTACGCCCTACAGAGCTTGGTGTACACTTACGCTGCTGTTGATGGTATACATTTTCCCCAGTACATCTCCGCCATCACGTTACGCCCTACAGAGCTTGGTGTACACTTACGCTACTGTTCAAGGTATACATTTTCCCCAGTACATCTCCTCCGCCATCACGTTACACCCTACAGAACTTGGTGTACACTTACGCTGCTGTTGATGGTATACATTTTCCCCAGTACATCTCCTCCGCCATCACATTACGCCCTACAGAGCTTGGTGTACACTTACGCTACTGTTGATGGTATACATTTCCCCATCAGACCTAGGTGTACACTTACGCTACTGTTGATGGCATACATTTTCCCGAGTACATCTCCTCCCCATCAGACCTAGGTGTACACTTACGCTATTGTTGATGGTATACATTTTGCCGAGTACATCTCCTCCCCCATCAGACCTAGGTGTACACTTACGCTACTGTTAATGGTGTACATTTTCCCGAGTACATCTCCTCCCCCATCAGACCTAGGTGTACACTTACGCTATTGAATGTTTGATCATCTTCTGCCGGTAGTGGAACACATGTCGACACACTTTCTCCACCATCTTGAACGGTAGATTGATCCGGGGCTTCATCAGCGGTACAAACTGCACCACGCCTACATCCACCTTGGGCGCAGGTGTAAAAGCTTTGCCTGTAAGTCAATACATCACCATAAAGTTTTGCCTGTAGGTCAATACATCACCATAAAGCTTTGCCTGTAGGTCAATACATCACCATAAAGCTTTGCCTGTAGGTCAATACATCACTATAAAGCTTTGCCTGTAGGTCAATACATCACCATAAAGCTTTGCCTGTAGGTCAATACATCACCATAAAGCTTTGCCTGTAGGTCAATACATCACCATAAAGCTTTGCCTGTAGGTCAATACATCACCATAATGCTTTGCCTGTAAGTCAATACATCACTATAAAGCTTTGCCTGTAGGTCAATACATCACCATAAAGCTTTGCCTGTAGGTCAATACATCACCATAAAGCTTTGCCTGTAAGTCAATACATCACTATAAAGCTTTGCCTGTAGGTCAATACATCACCATAAAGCTTTGCCTGTAAGTCAATACATCACCATAATGCTTTGCCTGTAGGTCAATACATCACTATAAAGCTTTGCCTGTAGGTCAATACATCACCATAAAGCTTTGCCTGTAGGTCAATACATCACCATAAAGCTTTGCCTGTAAGTCAATACATCACTATAAAGCTTTGCCTGTAGGTCAATAAATCACCATAAAGCTTTGCCTGTAAGTCAATACATCACCATAATGCTTTGCATGTAGGTCAATACATCACTATAAAGCTTTGCCTGTAGGTCAATACATCACCATAAAGCTTTGCCTGTAGGTCAATACATCACCATAAAGCTTTGCCTGTAAGTCAATACATCACTATAAAGCTTTGCCTGTAGGTCAATACATCACCATAAAGCTTTGCCTGTAGGTCAATACATCACCATAATGCTTTGCCTGTAAGTCAATACATCACTATAAAGCTTTGCCTGTAGGTCAATACATCACCATAAAGCTTTGCCTGTAGGTCAATACATCACCATAATGCTTTGCCTGTACAGTCAATACATCACCATAAAGCTTTGTCTGTACAGTCAATACATCACTATAAAGCTTTGCCTGTACAGTCAATACATCACCATAAAGCTTTGCATGTACAGTCAAAACATCACTATAAAGCTTTGCCTGTTCAGACAAAACATCACTATAAAGCTTTGCCTGTAGGTCAATACATCACCATAATGCTTTGCCTGTAGGTCAATACATCACTATAAAGCTTTGCCTGTAGGTCAATACATCACCATAAAGTTTTGCCTGTAAGTCAATACATCACCATAAAGCTTTGCCTGTAGGTCAATACATCACCATAATGCTTTGCCTGTAGGTCAATACATCACTATAAAGCTTTGCCTGTAGGTCAATACATCACCATAAAGCTTTGCCTGTAGGTCAATACATCACCATAAAGCTTTGTCGTAAGTCAATACATCACTATAAAGCTTTGCCTGTAGGTCAATAAATCACCATAAAGCTTTGCCTGTAAGTCAATACATCACTATAATGCTTTGCCTGTAGGTCAATACATCACCATAAAGCTTTGCCTGTAGGTCAATACATCACCATAAGCTTTGCCTGTAAGTCAATACATCACCATAAAGCTTTGCCTGTAGGTCAATACATCACCATAAAGCTTTGCCTGTAAGTCAATACATCACCATAAAGCTTTGCCTGTAAGTCAATACATCACTATAAAGCTTTGCCTGTAGGTCAATACATCACCATAAAGCTTTGCCTGTAAGTCAATACATCACTATAAAGCTTTGCCTGTAGGTCAATACATCACCATAAAGCTTTGCCTGTAGGTCAATACATCACCATAATGCTTTGCCTGTAAGTCAATACATCACTATAAAGCTTTGCCTGTAGGTCAATACATCACCATAAAGCTTTGCCTGTAGGTCAATACATCACCATAATGCTTTGCCTGTACAGTCAATACATCACCATAAAGCTTTGCCTGTACAGTCAATACATCACTATAAAGCTTTGCCTGTACAGTCAATACATCACCATAAAGCTTTGCATGTACAGTCAAAACATCACCATAAAGCTTTGCCTGTACAGACAAAACATCACTATAAAGCTTTGCCTGTAGGTCAATACATCACCATAATGCTTTGCCTGTAGGTCAATACATCACTATAAAGCTTTGCCTGTAGGTCAATACATCACCATAAAGTTTTGCCTGTAAGTCAATACATCACCATAAAGCTTTGCCTGTAGGTCAATACATCACCATAATGCTTTGCCTGTACAGTCAATACATCACCATAAAGCTTTGCCTGTACAGTCAATACATCGTTATAAAGCTTTGCCTGTACAGTCAATACATCACCATAAAGCTTTGCATGTACAGTCAAAACATCACCATAAAGCTTTGCCTGTACAGTCAATACATCACCATAAAGCTTTGCCTGTACAGTCAATACATCACCATAAAGCTTTGCTTGTACAGTCAATACATCACTATAAAGCTTTGCCTGTACAGCCAATACATCACCATAAAGCTTTGCCTGTACAGTCCATACATCACCATAAAGCTTTGCCTGTACAGTCCATACATCACCATAAAGCTTTGCCTGTAGGTCAATACATCACTATAAAGCTTTGCCTGTACAGTCCATACATCACCATAGAGCTTTGCCTGTACAGTCAATACATCACCATAAAGCTTTGCCTGCACAGTCAATACATCACCATAAAGCTTTGCCTGTACAGTCAATACATCACCATAAAGCTTTGCCTGTACAGTCAATACATCACTATAAAGCTTTGCCTGTACAGTCAATACATCACTATAAAGCTTTGCCTGTACAGTCAATACATCATCATAAAGCTTTGCCTGTACAGTCAATAATCACTATACGGTTGTAGACTGGGACCAAGTTTAAATGATTATTCTGCCATGACATGACAGTCTTCACTCCTATACTCAGTCATTGTTACGTACTTGTTCATTCCAGAAGGACACAATTGGCAAGAGGAGGAAAGAAAAATGATGTTAGCTGATCAACATAACTGTTCATATCAATATTTCAAAATGTTAAGAAACTTTCAAATTTGACATTTTCAGTCGGACAAACTGGGCCCTCATCCTTTTAACATGTTTAACTTGAATCTTTTAAAACCAAAAAATGTCCAAAAGATTTCGCATTTCCTCTGACTCACCTGGGATTCCAAACTTGAGGCTAACATCACACAAATACTGACACATGACTGACAGACGACATCGCATGTCAGAAGACACGGGCGCCACCATTCTCTCAGCCACTTCTTTCTGGAAGGTCAAGGTCAGCCTTGTACGACCAAAAGACCACGCCCCGGACTGATTGGCAATGTCTTCTAGCCACTGTACAATCAGAGGCGTGGAGATATTGAATGGCAAGTTGCCAATAATGTGCACATTGGGGGGTTTGTCCTCCCACGGAACTCTGTAAGTCTCTGGAATTATCTGCTCCATTTTGAATTGCAAGATGTCCCCATGAACTATCTTCATTCGATCTTCACTGGCATCTGCTAACATCTGTTGAATGAAATATTAAACATGTAAAAACAACACATTGTCATACAGTACATTTTTCAGCAACTGACCTCAATTTTGATAAAAAACGAAGAATATTTAATCATGATAAAACAGATCTGGCAGTGTATGTATTTCAAATATATCTTCTTGTGTCATTTTAATATGGGAGGAAAGCCCAAAGTGCTGCTGATGCTAGGCATTTACACATTGTGACACCAACAAGCATGTGACACCAACAAGCATGGTTCTGACCATCCAAGAACATAATCACAGCCAATCTGGCATTCAAACACATTCCATCTGATTCTAGCAGGACTAAGGGACACAACTCTGCAAAGCTGATTGTGGCCAAGTGTCTACCATCAGACAACTGGGCCACTTGTACAACCCAGAGACTTAGCAAGGATTCCAAAATAAACGCAGGCAAATTGAAAAGTTTTAATTTGTACAAAATTGAAATTTGTCTTAAAGATGATTATTTCTTTAATTCGAAGGTTTTTGAACATTTCGAACATTGCAATAAGGTAAAAACTATGCTTCAAAGTGTCTCCTCTATTGATTATGTTATCAGTGAAATAAATATCATGAATATAACATGACATGGGAAATTCTGTATTCATATTTGAATTTTTTTACTGACATCTGCTGCAGACTTGGGGCCAAACATATCTGAGCAGGTTCAGATACAATCCTGACCACTCCCTTCTCCAATGATGCTACTTAGTTTACACGTTTTTTTTGGTTGTTGTTGTTGTTGTTAAACGCCGCACTCAGCAATATTCCAGCTATATAATGCGCAGTCTGTAAATAATTGAGTCTGGACCAGACAAGCCAGTGATTGATATTATGAGCATCAATCCACGCGATTGGGATCGATGACATGCATCAACCAAGTCAGCGAGCCTGACCACCTGATCCTGTTAGTTGCCTCTTACGACAAGCATGGTTTGCTGAAGATCTTTTCTACCCCGGATCTTCAGGGGTCAATTGATACATGTATTTACTAAATAAGATTTGGTTGGGCCTCTTTTCATTCCCATCGATGGTGGAATGTCACCTTTACATGACTAGAGTCGCTTGTATTGCAGAGTGTATGATGACTGTAGCACAAACTGAGAATCCCTTCACACCAAATGCACAGTGATGTCCTATCTCAATAAAATCAGATCTTAGTTCCTGATACCGCTAAACAAAGATCTCAAGACATCCAATTACAGGTCACATCAGAACAACTCTTCGGGAACTTTGACCTACCAATGAAATGACTAACAAGAGGTCGATATTAGCCAATCAGAAAGCAGCTTTCTTTAGCTTTACGGCACTAGTTTCAAAAAGGCGACTTCCATTTCAGACTACACTTGAAAAATATTTTTGACAAAGTTCTCAATTAAATTTGAAAACTGAACAAATATGGTCAAGATTGTATGGTAGTACTTCACACGTGCTATGCAACGTCTCATTCATTCAAATGTTTATCCCATTTGAGAGAGATATAGACGATGATTTTGATGGAAACAGTCATACAGGCCGTAACCGTCGTTCAGAATACCCCTGTTAACCTTTGTGAGGCTACATGATTAGAAAACAAATTCCGACTGTCGCTTTCCTGATCTGGTAAGCAACACTCTGATGGGTCGGATGAAAGGTCGTACTGACAAGACTCGTAATAGGACGTCTTCAGATCATTGCTTACACAAACTAAGATTTGATTCTGATGAGATTGTGTGACAGTCCAACCCAAGGCTCTTGCCTGTCTGTACAATCACATCTTATACTCTAGGCAGCAACCTACCTGTAGTCCTGGGATGAACCTCCCGTCCTTCTCTACCACAACGACTCGTTTGGCTGCTGTATTCAAGATGGCGCGAGTTATCCCCCCTGGTCCAGGGCCGACTTCACACACAAACCCTCCATCCAAACTGCCAGCTTTCCGCACGACCTTCCTCGTCAGGTTCATATCCAGGAGGAAGTTCTGAGCCAGCTGTTTACGAGCGGTCAGCTGGTACAGGTGGACGATCTCCGACACTGTGGGGAGCGGTGGGAGTCGCATGGTGGACACTCCCCTTGATTGACACACACCTCACTTCAGCCTATCACTATCAGACCATTCAGCCTGAAATATGGATCTTTCGTTACCATAACAGCAATAAAAAAGTACTTTTGTTATGCAATTATAGGGATGCAACTTCATGATACATTAAACTGATTTGGATTAACTGGCTGGTGCAAATTCACATCACTAGTTTCAAGAAAAAGTTAATAACGTTTTGACTAATTACTAAACTATAGCACATTTTATACTTGTCTAAGACCATCTTGTTGTAAAGTCAAGTGCCTAGCTCTTACATTAACTAGCTTGTTTCGTATGCTACTGATCTCATTATCAAAGCTGTTCACACAGTTTGTGCCATGTGATACTTTTCAAATAGCTGACATGCAGAGTGTTTAAAAGCAAGTATGGCAGTCCAGGGGTTCTTGTTATAACCTTAATGATAAATGATAAAAATGAATGGGCCCCAAGATTGAAATACTACAGGGGATCGCCACATGTTAAAGGATGCCAGTACCCCAAAACTTTTATTCTCAATATGGAAATGCCACAGGCCCATAGCACATATACACTACAATGTATATGTGTAGAGGCTGTACACAAAGATTACTTTCTAATTGATAAATATAAATATACACTGATACAAACAATATCTTTATTGAGTGATTTCATGTTTATCACTTTACATGTGCTTGTCTTGTTTATTTGTGTGAAAGTAGATTTATCATAGCTTTTACATAATAACGGTGTCACAAAATATCGTGTTAAAGAAATATTTCTGAGTGTGCCTTTCAGTTGCCATGGCAACCTATTTTAACTGGCATTAGCAATAAATACAAAATAAAAGGGAATATGAATCCTGGTCTTATCCTGACATAGGTTATCTCCTTGAGAGAGTGTCTGAATTAATTAGTTATCTCCTGGCATTGCATGAACTATATTTCATCTATGTAACCGATATCCGTGTGTCAGCTTTACACATGTTTGAGAGGGCCCATTGTGAAGCACCACATCAATGTTTACAGGTCTAGGGAAACACACAAGCAGAGGCTTGGTGGTGACAAACTTTTGTCGGAATCTGAGATTCAGAACCACTTCCATCAGATCCTTGCACAGTTATGGGACACAACTCTTCTCAGAAACTTGTTGAAACTTAATGACTACGTAAGTTATCCCGGGGACTGAATGAAGTGCATCAAAATTGGACATGCACACATCAGTTGCCAAGTTGGTTGGTTTGTTGTTTTACGCCGCACTCAGCAATATTTCAGCTATATGATGGCGGTCTGTAAATAATCGAGCCTGGACCAGACAATCCAGTGATTAATATCATGAGCATCGATCCACGCAATTGGGATCGATGACATGCATCAACCAAGTCAGTGAGCCTGACCACCCGATAGTTGCCAAGTAGGGAACTGAATCCTTGTCTTCGGTATGACAACTGAAATACATGTAGCAGAATAAGGACATACTCACATTTCTTAATTGTTGATTAACATGTGGTATTATCATACGCAAAAGTTGTCCTATTCTTCAAAATGTCGAGACTTGGGAATACAAATGCATATCCATGGGCTGTTGATATGTTAGGGTAGATCAATTTAATTATAAACATCTTGTTTACATTCTCATACCTATTCTTGGAGTGACTGATTTCGCTGATTGTATTCCTATTTCAAATTTAAAAAATGTGGTATTTGTCACAAATGTAGACTATGGCATATGTAGTAAAACCTGTATGATAAAATGTCTAACTTTTGTTGATTTCAATGACAGATATATACTGACGCTGTGATAATTTTTTTGTTTTTAAACATGATACCTCCTCATCCATCCCTCTTCTTCTCATTCTCAGTTACCTCGGCACATGACATTTTCTTCTTTTCGCAACATGGATCCACCTTTTAGCACCTACTTAGAAAGAACAAGAAAACAGAAGATATAATGTCGTAGTTTCAACTCCCTCGTGCAAATATTACAAATATGATGTTTTGAAATAATATATTATCGGGTTTGGTAATTGTGATCAACCTGTAAATATACTGTATCCTTACTACATATCGTTTCCACGTTCCCGTTTGATATTTGTAGCTGATGGTGACTTGGCTCTGTCTATCCTTACTCCGGTTGAAATTGATAGTATTTCCATTAATAACTAAGAAAACATTTGTAAATATCCGAAATATTATTTATAGGGGATTCCAATATAATAACATTAATTAAGAAATTTCGGAAAGGAATTAAAGTGCAGGATTTTCTTTATCACGTGACCATGTTGTCAAAATGGCGTCTAGTGTACCGCCAGATTCAAATGGATAAGGATTCGCGCACCTGCTGTTGGATAAACGCTACAATTTTATGAAGATGGCTAAAACAATATCACCCTATGATATATTTGTTAACTTTGTTTCCTTGATTACATTTCTGTTGGATGTAGGAACAGGTAATTCCGTCCCTTCGGTCACTATCCTTTGTTTTGTTTTTGTGCACAGTATTATTGCCTCCAATTTTGCACCCGTTTGTGATTTGCTAATTGAAACAATCAGCTGGTCACGCAACAAGTTTGACCTTTCCTTGCGGCATGTTTTCATCACAAATAGTTTTCCATGACGTAATCTGTTGTAATGTGGCACGACTGTCGTTCTCCTAATGACCTCATCAAAATTCATCATGGGCAAAGCCTAAATAGGCTGTGTAAGAACAATTTAGTTTACGAACACTTGCAAAGTTTACCTATATATTTAAAGATATATATTTTCATAAGGATCATCCTCATATTGATACTAAAAGTGACTATTATTTAGATTTCTACCTCTCTATTCAGCATGTTCAGTAAGAAAATATGGTTGAGGGGATTGGCAATGATACTAGGGATAATACAAACATGAAATGATACAAAGTGGTGAGGCTAATCAATAAATATAAAAAGAATAGGACTGACTCCAAACATATGTAGCCACTGTTCTGTAGAAATCAATCATTAGGAATCCATATGTTACAAATTAAGGCTTGATAAGCATAAGTTATCTCTTGTTTCTAATGACCCTCCTCCTTCCCCCAACAAACAGTTGACCCATCCTTGATACTTTTTTATTTAATATTTCAAGTTGCATAGTGGCGGATATTTGGTAAAAATATATAAAGGACTAAAGTACACAGTAAATTACTATAAAAAACTATTATTATAATAGTCAAATGTTACAAATAAAGGTAGACATGGTAGACCCAATTTTATGGATAAATTGTTTAATAGGTATTACTTAGAAGCTGACAGATGACAAGGTAGACAAATAAAGAATGAATGTTACAAACAGAGGTCATTATTTACATACAAATAATGAATTCAAAATACAAAACAATACCAATGAACAACACGCAAACAAAAGTTGTCAGGAATGTTTTAAACATTGCAGCCCCATCTGGCTTTCTAACTTGCCCATGTGGTCCTCTAGCAGTTCATTATCCTTTTTGTGCACTGACGTTCTTTAGCATGTATTCTACACATTGTGCTTTCTTTACATATGATGTCTTTTGTTAGCAAGTTGTTCTTTGGTATTGTTTTGTATTTTGAATTCATTATTCGTATGTAAATAATGACCTTTATTTGGAACATTCATTCTTTATTTGGAACATTTGACCATTAGAATTATTGCAGACTTTGTCCTTTATTTCAACTTTGTGTTTTTTTGACTGGATGGCCGCCTATAGGTGCTTTGTTACATGTTTATGAAACACTTTCTCAAACAAAGATTTGCTTTTGCACCAACTTTTGACTTTTTGCACCTGAATCAGTAGGGGGCAAAGAAAGGTCATTTGGTACACAAGAATCAAATTTACTTCTGTCAATAGTGTTTGCAGATTTGTATCCACCTAAAGAAATATAAGAAATCCTCTCTCCATTTTCCTTATAACGTATCGGACTTGTGAAACGTCATGAGAAACAGGAATTTTGTCTAACTGGCCTAAACAGCAATTCAGTATCCTTAACCAAGATTTTGCATCTACATGTATATTACTAACAATTACTATTAAAGAATAGACACAGGAGAAGTTATCAGTTCGTCAAAGTCACCAAAGGTGCATTCTGAACACTGCACATTACATGTGTGCTCAAAAGTAATGACTGGTCTCTTGTTGGTATGATGTCAAGTTAAAGACGTCATGAACAAGGGATGACATCTTCAAATATTTCAAAACAATGCTCTCATTTGACGTCCTGTTGCTCTGGGCATCCTCGCAAACAATGAAAGCAATGGAATTATTGAACAAACTAGCCAATGAGCATAAATAAGAAATTATTATTGTTATTTGATCTGTGTTTCCTGTGGGTAATATTTCTCTGTCCCTGATTGTGACCTCTGTCAGGCCATACTTTAGAAACAATTGGATTATGGCCACTGTACCAGCTAATCTGTGTTCAGGACAGTGTTGAACTGATGATGACGCGAATGATAATTGAAGATTTTTTAAACTTTCAGATATCTTAGTGACTGTTCAGTTCTTTGAAAATGGTGACTTAGTGTGGGGATCCTTGACAGCAGGATTTGTGGGTGTACCCACGTTGCTGATTCAGATTTTCAGTCTCAAGTGGCACATTTCGGACAAGTCCCTCACCGTCGCCACCTGTCTTCCTCATCTCTTCCTGTTTGCTCCTGTTCAAAGGTGAGTGGTGACATGTTAATACAGATATTATTATGATTATGCATGCTCACTGAAAATATTTTAAACATAGATTATTAACAACAGAAAGTAATTATGAGCATGTTGATATTATGATAATGATTACTCTGATTGCCGACTCTGTGACAGTCAGCATATTCATCATGTTCCCCTTTTAATTAATTGTGATTTCAACTTCATTTGGGCAGGTGGGGTAGCTTAGTGGTTAAAGTGTTCGCTTGTCATGCCGAAGACCAGGGTTTGATTCCCACATGGTTACAATGTGTGAAGCCTATTTCTGTTGGCCCCCGCTGTGATATTCTAGGCTATTGCTAAAAGCGGCATAAAGCCTGCCTCACTCACTCACTCACTCACTCGCTCAGTTTGGGAATAGACATGTTATACATCTCTCTCAGATTTCAGTTCTGGGTTTGATGATGGTATTGAACGTAATTAATTTCAGGTATCTAAGTGTGATACGCTTGGCCCTGAAGGCTAGATCAACTCGTAGCTTCAACGACATTGACCGTGTCTACCGAGAACAGAATGACGTGTGTATTCTTCGTCTTATGGAGTCATTCATGGAGGCAGCACCCCAGCTGTGTCTGCAGCTCTACGTCATCTTCCTTGCCAACAACATCACGATACTTGCAGGTCAGTGGAGGAAGCCTAAAAAACAACATTGTTGTCATTGTGGTTGACAAACCCTTAGTCTTGATGTTGTCCACAGTCATAACTATTGGTAGAACAGTCGACTGTGTAGTCCAGCATTCTGTCTAACCCGTATAATCTGTATATCAGCATGTTAAACTGTTTAAAGTGTATACAGAGAGGCCTCATACAATGATCTAATTTGACATTACTCTTGAACCATGCATGTAATGTGATGGATACTTTGGTAAGTGATGATATCTTCCACTTTTGATGGGATACATGATGTAGTCTGATGCTGCCCTAGAGAAGCACATACCTGAGGCAAGGGAGTTAACTGACTATAAAAGTCCAATTTCTACCCTTTCCGAACTAGGCTGTTATTTCGGAGTTTCTGGTATGTTTTTGCTGGACTAACGAGTCTTTGTATAGTCCAATCAAAATCAGGTAATGAAATCGTCATCTTGTTTGTAAACTGACTTGCAGATTTCGGTTGATTGCAGTATTTGTAATGCATGTGTACTGTCAACTGGGTGTTGACAGCTATTTTCATGTTTGTAATCAATGTGCTCAAGTAATTTGATGCACTTAGTGAGCATGGCGAGATAGACCCTTTTTATTCCAATCTAGATCTTGATTAACCACCATTTGGTTTGAAGCAAATGCAAGTAATATCATAGGTGGAATCTGATTAATCAATAATAGGGAATCATAAGGGACATAACTCATAATAGCTACTGGTGGCGCAGCGATTGAGCCACGAAATTCCAGCCTAGTTCAGCGAGGATGGAAACTGGACTTTTATAGTCGGTCAACTCTCTTGCCTCGGGAAGATGTAGAGAAGGGAACAATGTAGCCATGGAAACATTTCCCCTACCTGACTGAACTCACATTGCTGCCTTGTGCTGGTATAGGTATATCGGTGTGCAGTTCTCTCATCTCCCTGGCGTGGGCTCTAACAGCCTATGGGGATGGACTTCGACTGGCTTACAGAGACCTCTACAGGAGAAACTGGGGCGGTTTGGTGGTGCACTGGCTCTGGCAAACCTTTATGACTGCTGCAAGAGTTATGGCCCTTGTCATGTTTGCCACTGTTTTCAAGGCTTGGGTGTTTCTTGCTGCAGGTAAGATAATGTGGTTTGCAAGAAACATGATTTTCATGATTTATCAACATTCTTCTATATCACTATCGAAGTTGAAAACTGTCAATAGCTCACTTTTTATGACAGTGTCAAGACCAAGATAATAAACTGATCTGAAAGTGAAAATAAGCAGCAATAGTAATGGGAATCGTAGGTTTCTTTTATTACTTTGAATCACTGATCTGCTTGCTTCAATTTTATAAGAGTGCATATTAAGGCATGATTTTTGACCCGTTTCTTTGATTCCACCGACCAAGCTGACTGCTGACGATGCATTAACTTAATGTGGGATGACAGGAGCATGATCAGCACAGGCTAACAAAATGTGGATCAAAATCTCTGTTTCAAATCTGTGATCATATGATCCTGGCATAGCTAAGGGATGCAACTCTTTACAATGTATTATGTCGTGTTATTTCTAAATGACTGGGTGGTAAAAAAAATACTGTTTCAGTGTATGAATCAACAATTAATATACATAAACCTTCTGTAACTTAGTACCTATTGTGAAGATCCGGGTTAGAATTCAGCAACCTATGCTGGTCATAAGAGGTGACTTACAGAATTGGGGGTTAGGCATGCTGACTCGGTTGATGCATGTCATCGCATTCAGACTGCGTGGATCGATGCTCATTATGTCAATCAATGGATTGTCTGGTCCAGACTCAGTTATTTACAGACCACCGTCATATAACTGAAATATTGCTGAGTTAGGCGTAAAACAACACACTGACTGCCTTTCTCTATCTAACCATACTAAATATATCTGTGAAGCAAGTAATAAATAAGGAATACATGGCCCAGAAATTGAGATGATTCTGCTGTTAATGATCTGGACATTGTTTGGTGTAAGATGTCTCAAATCTGTTTTATTTCATTTCAGGTATTCACTGGATTGCCATGACAATATGGATCTCTGTAAAGGGCACAGATTTCGGAGATGGAATTTGCGAACGTGGCCTGTTTCAGATTGTGGCAGGCTTCATGTACATCTTCTGTTTCCTGAACCTGCGCGAGGGCCGCAGCCGCTACCGCATGCTGGTGTTCTATCTGGTGTTCTTCCTTGAGAATGCCACGCTTGTTGCTGTGTGGTTCGCCTATAAGGAAACATCCTCCGTCCTGGTCTTTGTCACACCATCCGTGGTATTTGGTGGATTCCTGCTTGGTGACTATTTTACCCCTATAACTTCATTTATTCCTATATCCATTGTATGGAGTTCTGTCCCTTTGGGGTGCCAGGAACCTATGACTGCTGGTTCGAATCCTGGTTTAGCCCTGGTTATGTTTCTAGGTTTGTCAGCACCATAAGTGGCCTGAGACCTGCATCACTTTGGCTTTCCTCTCACATGAAGCTGACATGCTCTGATATAACCGGACTACTGTTCAAAGCAGTGTAACGCCAAACTCCTCTCTAAGGCAGGGGCGTGGGTGACCCAGTCGTCTGAGGTGCCGCAAATTGCAGTGCAGTGTTGTGTCCCATGGGCACAGCAGAAATCTATGATTGTGGGCTTGAATCCCGATTCGCCCTAATCATGCTAATTATGTGCTAAAAGTGGTATTATCCCGTGATATGCCAAGGAGAGGCATGGGCCACCAAGCTGTGGATGCCCGTGCCTATAATCAAACACAAGTTGAGATTGGATTAAATGGCCGAGGGTGTGCACGTACTAGTGGGCTACTAAGCTGCTAGTTGGGTATACCAAAATGCTACCGTTGCCATGGGCACTAGCATGGCCAACGGCAATTAGCAGCTAGCACTGCTGGCCTGAGACCACTACTGCTGTCCGGCCCCCATGGTAGCATATTTAAACGCTACCATTGCCTGGCAACTACCACACTGCCAAAAGCAGCTACCGCTGCCCGGCCCCAGGTAGCTGGCCAAAGCAGATCCCACTGCCTGGCCCCATTAGTAAAACCACTGTCGTGACTACCGCCGCGGGCCCACCTGTCAGCTACCGCTTGACAAGACGACTTCCGCCACCGGGCCCATATACGTGGCAATTGGTTGCCCAACGTAAATTATTTTACGATTCCCCGGCTGAAAAGTCGGGAAAGACAAGGTTCCCACTGAGAAAACGTTATCCCGGAAAGGTTCCCGCTGAAAAGCAGGTAGCCTTAAGCAAGAGTATTAATTTGGAAGCAAGGTAATTTGTTACTAGCAGTGTAGCCAACAAGAACCCCGCACACCGCGACAAACCGGTAATTTAGTTTTGAGACAGGTATTTGCATAAATACATATATACAGCTATTTAGAAGGCATGTTTATTTACATATTCACACATATAAATATATTCGGCTATTTAGAAGGCATGTTTCTTTACATATATCAGAATCGTTTAAAAGGTAGTCATTTACATATAGACAAGCGCCCTGAAAACCTATCTTACATATGTACAGGTTTAATTACATATATTACAATCTGCTCTGCTGGTACCTGTAATAGATGCTCGCTGAAGAAAAGAAGTGATTAGAATTCCAGGTGAGGGGGACACATACCGGCTGAAAAGGAAAGAAAGGGAGTGGCAAGCTGGGCGGGTGGGCTGGAAAGCGATTAGATACAGCAAAACACGTGTGTACTTGAAGAGAGATGGTGCGCGAATGGTGGACTATAGAGATGTAGCAAAGGAGGGATGACGCTTGTGTGGGATCTAGTGCCCCGGGCACGGTGCAGGGTGCTGACCCGGGGGGGATTCAGTTACAAGGGGTGATTCGGTTATGGGCGTATTTAGCCAATGGTTTGGATACGCGCGATAAGGTCATTTAGTAGTTAGTACTAAATGTAAATAGCCTGACACCTGTATCATTTGGGGCATTCCTCCACATTAATCTAGAAACAAAATTTAGGCGAACCAGGATTCAAACACACAATCATAGGTTTCTGGTGTGACCAAGGGACGCAACTCTGCACAGTGAATAGCGGCTCCTCAGTCAACTGGGCCACCCGTGCCCTCCTTGCTCAAAAAGATCTATGCTAAATCTGATGTTGATTGGGTCTTATATTTTCTAATGATTACCGGTATCCTTTGTGGTCCAGGTATTCTGTGTCTGTTGCTGTACTACCGGTTCCTGCATCCCGGTGGCCCCATCTACCTGTACACCATCAAGTCAACAGTACACAACACAGTTCTCAATAATCAGGTACGGCTGCATCCTTCATTATCCAGTGTTTTATATATACTCACCGGCCAAAAGAAATGCAAATACCATACATGTTGGTTAAGATATGAAGAATTACTCATATTCAAGAGGTATTCGATTGGTTTGACATGTTGATGCACAAACGAACATACTGGTATGTTGTGTGAACCGATGCTCATGAACGCATCACATGTGACGTCATAGATCCATGACTCAAGATGCGCGACAGGATTAGCGTGTAAAGTTTGGAAATCACGTATAGCATATTGTGTTGAAGATAAAGAAACAATGTGGTACCACCTGACTGAGAGTTAGTTTTGTCATTAAGTGGTACACATTGGAAACTTCTTTCTTAACGTATGTTCTTCTCTATTTGTTTCTACGGTTCGCGTTTCTTTTGGCGGTGAGTATATACCCTGGTACCTTGGCCATGATACCGTTGCTTTGATGTTGGTTGAAACGATGCTAGAAATGGATGTTCAATCAAATTTCACTGTCCTTTGAAATACATCCTGATGTTTTAATTGATAAAACCAGTTGGGTGATTTTGCTTTCATGAGCGAGAGAAATTCTGGGCCGCCATTTGTAACCATGGTAACACTTAATCAAGGGAGGTAACACAGTGACGACTAGCAGTGCATACTACATATTATACATCTGATATTAGCTGTATCAGGAAGATTGATTATTAATTAAACCCAAAGAAATACATTTCTTCATTATTTTCTCAGCTGATCCATTTAGATTGTATCCAATGTGTATTGTTGAGGTTTTGTATCAGGCTGTTCTGGTGGTACCAAGCAGAGAGTCATCAGATGGTGTGGATTGTTGCTCATGCCTTCAGTCCCTGGGTGATTATGTACATGCCGTTGTGATAAAGTTGGAATACTGTTCACTGTGGCATTCAGAAACATTCACTCACTCCTTGAAAACCACTGTGACAAATGCTAATTGGCTCAGAATAGGATGATGTGGTTCAGAAAAATGAATTATGAAAGTTTTGCTTTAAATTGTTGTTGTTTTGTAAGCGGTAATACATTGCTATATATGGAAACAGCTATTTTAAACAACATCTGCATCATCAGTGCTTGATCTTCAGACCATTGTTAGAGGATTGATCTGAAAGAGGACAGTTGTGATTGGTCCTATGATTTAGAAACAGTCACATGTGATTGGTCAAAACAGATAGTTGAGATCGTTGTCTGTTTCAGCTGGAACCTCGTCCTGGTCTGTTTGACGTGACTGCCGGCACTCTGTTGTCCGTCCTGGGCAGTGACATCGTGGAGCTCAGTCGGGACATGGATCACACCACCCTGAACTTCAGCCGAGTCAGTACGCGATCCTCAGGGGGCTTCTCCCAGCAACACATGCAGCGTGTGTGGGAGGCGGGGCTAGCTGGTCGCAGCAGCTCATCTGACAGCTCCCTCGACATGAAGGACAGTCAAACAACTCGGAGCTACAACAATGGGACACTGACATCTAGCAGATCTGCGAACAGCACGAGACAGCTGCTCCAAGGGTCAAGGTCATCGGTGAACGAAAATCGGGGAAGGGGGTACAAGGATCAGGCAGATCGACGTGATGAGACAAATGATTTCAACTCAACTGTCAGCTCAAGATATGTGCCAAGAAATAGGATGTTTACCCAGAAGGACATTTATGGATTCCATGAAGATAGATTTAATGGCACATACCATAGTCCTTTGAAGATAAGCTACGAGTCTTTAGGGATGAGACCAGTGTCACTGTCGCCCCTCGATGCCGGGAAACTGTGGGAGGAGACAGCTGGCAGGCTGAGGGCGCCATTAGTCGGGAGAGATGATGACACACTGTCAACTCTCAATGCCTCAGATCTCCTAGAGCATTCGTATATTCACGAAGATTCTTCAAAATGGGCTTCATACAGTCAAAGAGAGGCATCAAATCTTGATTTATACAGCCAAAGTGCAGAATCAAATCTTGATTCTTACAGCCAGAGAGAGGTATCAAATTTTGATTCTTACAGCCAGAGAGAGGTATCAAATCTTGATTCTTACAGCCAGAGAGAGGTGTCAAATCTTGATTCATGCAGCCAGAGAGAGGTATCAAATCTAACTTCATATAGCCAAAGAGAATCATCAAATAACAAGTCATACCGCCAGAAAGATTTGTCAAATGTTGGTTCGTACAGCCAGAGGGAATCACTGCACAATGTCACTGTACACTCCAACACCAGCAACAGCAGCAACAGCAGCAGGCAGTATGGGAGGCTTGGTAGGAGTAGATCAAGCAGTAGAAGCCGGTCGGAGGTCAGCAGAGGTCACATGAGTCCACCACAAACAACATCTAACTACAATGCTTTTGATCATGGCTTTTTGGATACATCTGTGCCTGATCTGATGGACCCTCCTGAATGTGTCAGTAACTACAACAATATCTCTGGTTCCAGGGACTCTGGTCCAATGTATGGACACATCTCACAAGCTTCATCCAGGATGGATAGGTCCACGGAGCTGTACACTCCCTCTGTCAAAGGTCCTTGGAGAGACTGTAGCTCCACTCCATCTCACATCAGTCCTGCAATGAAATCCATAGAATCAGACTCACCAGTATACTCAGTAGGAACTGAAGATGAGTCTGGAGTTTTCACCAATACATCCAACAGAAGTGAGAAAAAGAGTATGCAGTATCATGACATCTCACTCCAGAATTCCCCCGAGCCAATATATGCTGTGCCTTACTCAACAAACACCTCTTCGTTCCACCAGACACAGTCAGTCCCGGCTGTTAGTCGACACAAGAGTCGGACCAACCCGGGGATACCAGGTGCCAGTCGACTACAGTATGGGGACAATGAGGACATCCCCGGAGCATGCAACAGCCTGGTCCCAGACACCCCCTGGAGGCTAGACTACCTGAACCTGGAACCACTGAGGACAGCCCTCCTGGAGGTGAAGGACATGCCGGAGCCCAAGAGACACCTGGTCCGAGAGTATCTCAAGGATCTGAATGATTCCATCACCCATCAGCCAAGTCCTCTGAAGGTGCAAGAATTCCAAAACTCACCAGCTAGGTTTGGGCGAAGTGTGGATCTCTTTAACAGTCGTGCTTGGCAGGCAGTCGAACAAATTGTGGAATGCGAGACTGGTCAGTCTGATAAGGGTCACAGCATCGCAACATTGCCAAGGTCGCAACAAAGGTCGAGGAAATCTCTACTCTCAGATGAGTCAGTTGATGCTCACAGCAGGCCGTCATCAGGTCAGTATGATTCTGGTGTCTTCTACCAACCTTTCCAAAGAAGCTACATAGATTCACAGAATAATGTGAAAGAATCGTCTCCCTTTGGGACGTACAGACATTCGTCTAAGATGTCCAGCATCAGGGGCAGTGAAGCAAGTGGAGCCCCTGTCAGAGGTTCTCCCATGCCAATCAAAAACAGATCGAAAGATCGTGTGGAACGAAGGAAATCCCGAGAGATTGAGTCTTTACATGGTAAGCGGAGTGACTCCGAGAAATCTCTAAATGGGAGATATAAGAAACGCCAGTCAGAAGAGCACAAGGAAATTGGTGGTTACAAAGACAGGTCCATTGGACATAGTCAGTCTAGTCTCAACAACTCAAAATTGGTTCATCATATATCTCCCCAACAGGTGAATGGTGACAGCTGTGTAGATGTTCTCAAACCTCAACCAGTCCGTCACACCCAGACAAGCTCAGTCTTATCAGATGTGTGTCCAAGTCTTGCTAGTTCTTACCGGCAAGCCATAAACAATAGCAACAGGGTGCCTTGTAACCTGAATCTCAGCCAGGACTTGGGTCAGTCTGACCTCAAGCTTGTGGACCTCCAGGATGAGAACCTTGACCTTCAGAAACAGGTTAAAGGTGACAGAAGGTCACAGGGACCGGAAAGACAGCCGTTCCAACCCCTGCATAACACACCAGCATTCTCCCCTATTGGAGAACCCAGCAGACAGGTCAGGAAGCCTTTAGAGCATAACTCCAGCACGCCTAAACTGTCCTCAAGCCTTCACTCTCTGGCTCTGATTGATGCTTACAACAGCCCCTTTGCTGATTCAACACAGAGTCAGAGATCCAAAGTTACAGCTAACAGTAGACCCATCACTGATTCAACACAAAGGTCAAGGGGTTGGGTTGCAGGACCTTGTCCAATGGCAAATAGCAAGAGTATGGACAGAGCTAAGTCGTTTGACTACATTAGGTAATACAGTACTAACACTACATCATAACATATCAAGCATACAGGCTCTGTGAGATTGTACTCATGTAAACCTCGAGGCTGTGATGGATCATCTCCACTACACATAAGTAGTCTCAAAACTGTCTCAAAGTATGTGTGTGATGGATCAGTATATTTTATCTTTGCTCAGGGTAAAGTGTTCCTTGTTCTTACCCCGGAATGCTTGTCTCTTAGTATTCAAATGTCAGTACTTTGTTTTTCCTGTATTCTAATGTACCATTACGCGCCATTATTGGATTGGCGTCTCTGAGTTGACTGGCGCCTCTCTGAGTTGACTGGCGCCTCTCTGAGTTGACTGGCGCCTCTCTGAGTTGACTGGCGCCTCTCTGAGTTGACTGGCATCTGCTCTTTCTGTCAATGCTTTGACCTTGTTTACTGATCTGAACATACCCATCAGTGGCCCATTAATACAACTTGTACTGGAGACCCTGTATTCGAACACATTGTTAAGAATTGAATAGAATTTTAGCATTTTACACATTTTGATATTGTTTTTTTATGAACTTCTTAAAATTTTTGAATTTTTGAAAATCTTTTTTTAAAATGTTTAACAAGATTGGAATATATTTATTGGAATTGTTGTAAGTTTCTATTTTAGTTTGTATTAATTTTAAGTGACATTATTGTGCCATAATGGTTCACCTTGTATATAAATGATGATACGCATGTCCTTGGGTGTTACTATAGTCATGACAGCAGTCATAGTTTCGATAGTATTTAGTTGATATATAATGATGATTATACACATGTATGATTATGGTCGTGACAGTAGTCGTAACTTTCATTATCCTCATGTATTAGTGCTTTGTGCCGGTTGGAAAACATTGTCCATGAAAAACTTTAGAAATCCCCGCCCTCTTTAGAATATCAAAACTTATTGTCACATGTTGAGATAACTTAAGACACTTTAAATACAAGTTATCATGATGGCAAATATATTTAACCAGCATCATCATCATCAATCATCACCATCTTCATCTTCATAACATCTTGGCTTCATTTTGCTTAAGAACAAATTACAGTTATGAATATTCTAGCAATAATAAAGAGAAATCTGTCAAACTGGACTCTGACTAATCTGGATTTCTGTCAATACCAGATCACATTTATAGTCCATATTTACTACAATGATAATATTTCTTTAGGCTTTGTCTGTTATTCCTATTTCATTTTCTACTGCTACATTGTCACAGCCTCCGAGCATGTGAGTAGCCTGGACTAGACGTTCAGTCCAACAGTAGCCTGGTTGAGACAGATTCCAGTGTGCTGCTACATTGTCACAGCCTCCGAGCATGTGAGTAGCCTGGACTAGACGTTCAGTCCAACAGTAGCCTGGTTGAGACAGATTCCAGTGTGCTGCTACAGTGTCACAGCCTCCGAGCATGTGAGTAGCCTGGACTAGACGTTCAGTCCAACAGTAGCCTGGTTGAGACAGATTCCAGTGTGCTGCTACAGTGTCACAGCCTCCGAGCATGTGAGTAGCCTGGACTAGACGTTCAGTCCAACAGTAGCCTGGTTGAGACAGATTCCAGTGTGCTGCTACAGTGTCACTAACCCTCCGAGCATGTGAGTAGGCTGGACTAGACGTTCAGTCCAACAGTAGCCTGGTTGAGACAGATTCCAGTGTGCTGCTACAGTGTCACAGCCTCCGAGCATGTGAGTAGCCTGGACTAGACGTTCAGTCCAACAGTAGCCTGGTTGAGACAGATGCCAGTGCGCTGGTCTCCCTTCCCCTGGAGTCCAGGGTCATCACTTGAGTTTATGTGGTCCACTAATCATGGCAATAAGACACAATAACATCGCTGTAATTTAATCTGTAAATAACACGCAGGTATATAATTTATGTTGTTGCTAGTTGACTGTAGAATGTTCATGTGTTATTTATGGTGTATTACATGTGTGGATTTAGTTGACAGGCTAGGAATTATGGTGCTGTAACTCGCGGGAAAATACTCAGTGAAATATTCATGAATTCTTAGATGTATTTTGTAGTTGTGCCTAGTTACTTCATCATGTTAATAATGTTGTGCTGTACTAATAGTCATGTGACATCAAAGAGCAGTGCAGGTGCTTTAGCTTACTGAATTGGAGGAGGCCACAGACAGTTTTCAGACAGGCTTAAAGGACCTTTGGCATACCGGCCTTGAAAAGGCCTTAGATTTCAATCTCCCTTTAGAAGGCCTTGGATTTTGACAAAATGCCCTGAATCTGGCAACCATTGTAAACACTGTCTATTTTTTCTCTAATAATGTGTTGACATATAGCAAGTTAATTGTCAACTACTATTTGAAATATTTGCTGTGGAATATTTCAATAGAATATTGGGATGTACATATGGAAAAATAATGAAATAAAGTCTAAATGGCCTTATAAATTTGTTGGAAAAGCATGACTGAGTATGTTGAGCTCTACTTAAACATTCAAGCCTAACTCAGGCAGCCACAGGACCAGAATCTGCTCTTGATGTTTGACACAGACTGCTCTTGACAATGTGCACCTGACGTCATATGTTCAGAGCTTTGATATCAAGCTCTAGATCACGCTACATGTATTTAGCCTTTGTGGCTGTTCCTACAGGTGACAGGTTCACAGTGTTCCTGTTTGTACCTATTTAAACCTACATGTATTGGAGTGTCATCAGTATTAACTAGTATATGATTGCTCTCAGTGTCTTGTGTAGGAGAATGTATACACTGGGCTGTATATTGATATCCATGTTCCATGTCTTGTCCTGTTCAGTGTCAAGTAACTTTTTTGCCTTTCAGGTTACAAGTATCTTATGCTGTTTTTGTAAGTGAAATAATTTCTAATTTGAAGACCACTGGCTGGTACTTAAATGCTTCTAGTCAATTATATCTAGACATTGTGTCAATTTTGAAAGATTTCTCTCAATAACAAAACATTGAACTGATATATAGCTTCTCAGAAAAAGATGAAGTAAAATTGTTTCAGATGCAGGTTATTCATGTACATACAAGTAGTCAGTAGTAACTAGAGTTAATAAATCTTACAACAGTTCATCTCAGTGTTCATCTCATTGTTTCTCTTGTCATGGACCGCCTCCGTGGTCCGATCCCTGACCACGTCATACCAAAAGATTTTAAAAGATGGTACTTGTTGTTACACTGCCTGGCACTCAGCATTAAGGGGCTAAAACAAAGGCTGGTTGGCTTGGAGTCGGTATACAGTGTGGGTTATCCATGCTTAACTGCGGCATGGTATCTCCTTGGGCTAGCACTATAAAATTGGCATTAGTCTAGACAAGTAAAAGCACACACACACACACACACACACACACACACACACACACACAATGTTAAACTGCAGCATGGTATCTCAGTGGGCTAGCACTTTAATATCGGCATAGTACAAGCAGCCACGCATGCGACCCCTATTTAATATTTTCACCCTGATTACCACGATTAAGCTAGCTCTGTGTCATGCCATGCCAACATGATTGACTTGTATACATGATCATGCAGCATATTAAATCTCCATTCTGTTACGATTAATACCCTGGACACATTCACCGCCATAGCTTTGTTTGGTGTCTGGTTCCAATGACCCAATGCTAAAAATAGCCATCCAATCAAGTACCCTGTTCTTCCATGACTAAAACAATTGGCGATATCACTATTACTTTAAGCATCTTGTTGCATACCGTCTCTATGACAACTTGGAACATCTAATAGCATAACGACTTCCCTTTCCCTAACATAACCCTCAGAAAATTGCAAAAATTGTTTCCAGCTTAAAAACTTTACACAGTTTTTTCGGGTTTAAGTCTATCACAGGGTCGCTTGAATGAGGCCTTGATTTTTAAGTTAGATCTATGGCGAACAACGAGTCATTGAGAATGATTTTTTATTTCGAGTTCATGAGCAAGAGAGAATTGGTGACGAGTGATGGAGATGGTGACGACTTTTGTCACCTGTTTGTCAAGCTGTTTTGGAAGAATGGTACCACAATATTTTTCAAAAAAGAATGGATATGTAACACACTGCCACTGTATGTTTGTAGTTAAACGCCGCACTCAGCAATTATCTTGCTGTATTACAGCGGTCTGTAAATAATCAAGTCTGGACCAGACAATCCAGTGATTGACATCATGAACATCGATCCACACAACTGATATACGATGACATGCATCAACAAAGGCAACGAGTCTGACCACCTGATCCTGTTAGACACCTCTTATGACAAACAGTCGCCTTTTGTTGTTGCTAATTTCTACCTGTATTATTTGTATATAATAATTTGTAAGTCAATAAGTTCTATCCTTGTATCAATAGTGTCCAAATACAACTGTGATACAGGAGATCAGAAAGATTCTTGATTGAAATGCTTACAGTCCTCATGATTTATGATTTCATATAAGGTCACAAGGTTCTGCAGCTCACCTGCATTATGAAGAAATAATGACGGCCATCATTAAGATCGGATTCGAATTCTATGGGCACATTGGGATATTCAAAAGTTTCAGTTCCATTGGACATTTGGTTTCAGGGGAGATGTCGCAAAATCTAGTGACAAGAAAAAGAGGTAACATGAAGGTCAAGGGTTGTATCTTCATTAGTCTTGATCATTAAGGAAAATATGCTCCAAAAAATGTTATATGGTATACTGCATACTACATGCATGCTGCATATCAATGTTCATGATACTTGCAGAATATTGTCTGAATAATGCAGAAAGCAAAAATGATATTTTCAAAATGGCTGTCGGAGCGGCCATATCTAAAGTCAGATCTGATCTGAAAGATTTCAGAGAGACCACAGCTGGGATCAATCATACAAAATTTCAGCTCAACTAGTCATGTAGTTATCGGAGAGATAGACTATCCATTAACTGACTTTTCCTTTTGATAAGCACATTATCTTCTACATGGATTAATTGAGTTATTACTGTTCCTATCACGCATGTTGATAGAAGGAAATGGGAACTTAATGTCATAAGGAAAGTTCGTGATCATTCAGGGATTATATATCTTACACACACATTCAAACATGGGGGTGGGATGACAAGAAAAGAGCCTGTTGTTTCCTCAAAACAAATTGCCAATTGCAAAATAATACCCTACTTCAAATCTATGATCGTAGGTTTGCATCCCAGATTTGCCCTGAGTATGTTTCTAGCTTTGTCAGCACCAAACCATGCTCTTTGCTTTTGCCCAAGAGGTAAATATCTAAAGCATTCTTAAGAATGCTTTGACGGTGAGGTAGTCAAGTGGTTAAAGTGTTCGCTTGTCATGCCAAAGACCCGGGGTTGATTTCCCACCATGTATAAAGTGTGAAGCCCATTGCTAAAAACGTCATAAAATCATACTCACTCACTCATTCATTCAAGAATGCTGGAATCAACTTCACCTTCTGTGTGTAGATCATTTCTTAAGGGCAAATGCTTCATATTGTTTTCATTTATTCAACACGTATTTGAGATTAAAATTATACATACCTTGAAAGTACTATACTGAAGTAAAACAAAATATAAGTGAAAAAGATTTGGTTTCATTTCTGAGCTTATATTTATAAAAATCCATTTCAACATTAATATTTTAAAAGTCGGATCACTTAGCCTGTCTGTTCACATATCACCAATGGTACTCTGGCGTTAATTAATTTTATTCACTGACCACAGTCAATAGCCAATAGCGGAAAATAAATGTAGATTTCACTGTACTCTTATTTCCCAGTCCTCTTGTTTTATGGATGGAATATAAGAATCAATACAATTTTCCACTGCACAATTTGCTGGTCCTCAGGTACGTTTTGTATTGCTGTTTGTTGTTCTGCATAGCACATAGCAATATTCAAGCTATATGACAGCCCCCTGAAAATAATCAAGTCAGCACAAGATAATCCAGTGATTGATATTATGAGCAACGATCCATGCCAATGGAGTACAATGACATAAACCAAGTCACAGAGCCTGACCACCCAATCCACATGGTCCCCTCTTATGGCCAGTTTGCTGGGGAATTCTGCGCTGGACTCCCCAAGGGGAGCTTCTTGTAAGAGCCTGAAAATAATCAAGTCAGCACAAGACAATCCAGTGATTGATATTATGAGCAACGATCCATGCCATTGGAGTACAATGATAGAACCAGGGGTGCTTCTTGTAAGAGCCAACTATGATGAAGATGAGGTACATGCATCCCCAATGTGTGGCTTGGTTGATTGTGTGGCAGCCATCGTTCATGGAAATGGAGACCTGGGTAAGATAGGTCTTCTGCAACCCATGCTTGCTGAAAGAGGCAACTAACGGGATCGGGTGGTCAGACTTGGTGATTTGGTTGATGCATGTCATCGTATCCCAAATGCTAGATAGATGCTCATGATGCCAATCACTGGATTATCTGGTCCAGACTTGATTATTTACAGGCCGGTGTCATATAGCTGGAATATTGCTGAGTGCATCATTAAACAACACAACCAAACAAACGGAAATGGGGACCAGGCCGGTGTAAGCAATTCAGGTTGACTGAGGTTGTAGATTACCATGTTGGTGGGGTGCTGATAATCCTAGGATCACAATCAGGGGGAATTAGGATTCAAACCAATAATAAACAGATCCTGGCATCGTTAAGGGTCATAACTCTGCACAGCAATATTCACCACCAGACCACAAAGCAGAGTCACCATGAAAGAAGACACACTTTGATAATTTGTACAGCATTTTATTGCCAATAAATAAATATACTGATATAGCTATACACAGTTCTCAGAAATGGCAATTTCACAGAGAGCCAGCTATTGATGATATACCACTGACATCAACATAGCTCCCTCATTAAGTAACAAAGGAATATGGACAAGATTTAGACCACCATCATATAGGCATTCTGATACAATAGAACCTTCCAAACACAAAATCCAACCCTCAATGAAAAACAAATAGAAGAATTTGTTTCATGATGTGCAGCCTATTGGTGGCCATTCAGTCATAATCCTCTTTTCCCATATAAACTCAAATCATGAAAATGGAAGTTTAATTAACATTATAAACTAGCAAGTGTTGGTTCAGGGTATTACCACTGTTCATGTACACAGATTTATTACATCACATGCATGTTGGTTAGTTGGTTTACGCCGCACTCAGCAATATTCCAGCTATATGGCGGCGGTCTGTAAATAATCGAGTCTGGACCAGACAATCCAGTGATTGTCTCCGAGCCGATCATTCCTTGTTTTAGCCCCTTAATGCTGAGCGCCAGACAGGGTAACAACAAGTACCATCTTTTAACATCTTTTGGTATGACGCTGCCGGAGATTGAACCCCGGACCTTTACCACGGAGTCGGTCAGTGAGTGAGTGTTGTTTTAGGAGTGTTTAGCAATATTCCAGTAATATCACAACAGGGACACCGGAAATGGGCTTCAGACATTTCACCCATGTGGGGAATCGAACCCGGGCATTCGACGAGAAGAGCGAACACTTTACCACTAATCGAAGGTACCATGTTGCTCCTCAGTGTTTGTTTGTTGTTGTTTCATGCCGCACTCAGCCATATTACAGCTATATGGCGGCGGTCTGTAAATAATTGATTCTGGATCACACAATCCAGTGATTGATATCATGGGTCACATGCATGTAACGGCTGGGACAACTCCCAACATATTACCCAGGTACACCACCCCCATATTACCAGATGCTGCCTGGGCAACCACTGCAGGTCTCAAGAGTTGGGTACAAAATGTTCAATTGGGAATTGTCTTACCCGAGCCCTGTCAATTATTGTTATACACATATAAAACAATCTGATCATGCATACACTGAAGTTGACTTTAGCTTTATCTTTAGTCAAACATATAAAAGTCAGAAGGAATGCGCGCATAAAAACTTGTAGCAGTGTTCGAAATACCTGCCTGCCCGACCGTCCGTCCGAGACGGGTTGATTTCAACTCGGGCTGCCAGATTTTCAAATCCCCCTGCCTGACGGTCAGGTTATATTTCATATGTGAAAATATTCTAAATATTTCCCAGTGATAAGCATTAATTCACATGTAAAGATAAATGATAAAATGTAACCAAAAAGAAACCCCGTTAGCTTATCCTGAGAAACATATGATTATAGTGGGCAGGCAGGTTTTGGTCAGGGCTGGCAAGTATTTCTGCTAGCCAGTCCTGTGGTCTGGCTGAAATTTTGGGGAGTTTCATACCCTGCTTGTAGTTTAACCATGGAAATTAGTGTCATTGTCATTAAACATTACCGTATATCATGTGACTAACCACAGGCCCGGGTACCCACAGGACTACCCCAAGCGGAGTACCAGAGTTACCGTTCTTAACTAAATGCATATATTACACCCGTTCCTGATACTACAATGACTAATGAAAGATACTGCCAGTTGTTTCAGAGAGTGAAATCAGGATTAGCTGGAAGCACTCATAAAATCACTGTGTAATCACATAGTAATCACTGTGAAGGGAGTGACAAGTACCACAACAAACTACATTGTCAGACTAGAAATAAAATGTTTGCAAGCAAACATAAATCTGTACACATTACTTGTTTTCCTGGTATCTAAATATGTCCAGCTAGAGGTAACAGTACAAACTTATTATGTTTTACTACATCAGGATACCAAGGACATATTACCTTCATACATGATATATACAGCTATTATTACATAACACAATATTAATAGTGAGAAGAGTTTTATTCAAAATACAACCATAGAGGGGTTGGACATGTTTTACTTAAAAGTGAATTTGTTCTCTTGAAAGTGATCATGAAAACTACGAGATGTCTGACTGTTATAGTAAGTCCGGCCAAAATTAATTACCATCATCTAATGAGGCAGGCAAAGATGAAAATATCATATTCTACGTAGTGTTGCCTTTTAAGCAAATGGTTCAGGGTCTACATACTGACTTGGGTCTTCCTGATAGCCAGATGCAGGTATGTACCATGTCTGTGACTTTTATTTCTCATGTTGTGTCTTCCAAATCAAGAAAATAGTTGTGACATCAGTTTCACAATAATAGTGAATCATTTCTTATTAAACAACGCAAATCTGGAAAATAATGCAAGATATAAAGTGTACCAGAAAACCAGGTATCAAATCTTAACTAGCTAGACCCATATCACAGATGAAATTGAAATTGTGAATTATCTGTACAGATAAAGAGCTTAACATAAGGAAATATTTTGCCAAACATTGACCAACAAATAATCCGTATACTTATGTACACAATCACAAAGACAAAAGAAAATCATCATAAACCACATATCTAAAATTCAGAACTATTTCTAAGGACTCCAACACCATAGCTTGCTTAAACATACAAATGAAATTTCATCCATAAAAATAGTTTATGAAAGCACAAATGATTATCCCCCTGTAGGTCAAGTATTCCTCATACAAATGAGTTACTTAATGAAGTCGTCAAACATCTGTAAACAATCTGGAGGTGAGACAAGAAATGATTGAAATCAAACCCTTAAACGTAAGTTTCCCATTGTTTACATATACCCTCAGTAGTGTGAATGTTAGTCCTGCACCATGACCGTGGAATATATTTATTTTATGAAAAAATAATAATCTAGAAATGCATACAAAAGCAAGTCTAGCCAGCTCAAGCTAGCTCTATTCCACAGCATAGGGAATTTTTTTTATTTTTAGAGTCAAGAAGGATATTGTGTTATATAAGATTTCAGAGACTAAATGTTAGTCTATGTGAATGTCTGCATACATATAGCCTGCAGTTGCTATAAAAGAGATATAGGTAGGGATGATATGATATACCCAAATACAGATCATCCTTGGTAATCCAGGGTATTTTATCTCCATTATGTAAGAATAAATACCCTGGACCCCTCAACACCAGTACCGGATTGAACAACATAATGGACTACATTGTATAAAGTCAACACTATCAGTTTGTAGACAATTTGCAAACAAAATATGTTTGTAAAGAATGATGTATATCATGAATATTATCATTGGGCAAGACTATTTCCTCTTTTAGGATTACAGGTTCTTATTTGAAAATCCTAATCGTTAAGTGGGAAAAAAATTAATTAATATTTCTTTTTTTCATCTTCCAAACGTTAAACATGTTGCCATGCGAGCAGTAATAGTAGAAGAACCTTGTCTCATCTCTTTTCCTAATTAGCTGGTTGACAGAATCAGAAAATCATTTGCAAAAAAGGACTTTCGTTGAGATTGATGTCACTGTTCTCATTGATGTCTCAATGGTTTCACTGTACCTTCTTCAGGAGAGGGAACGTGTGTCTCAGATGTGAACATTCATTGACTGACAACTGATTGATTCTGTCACTTTAGCTTTAGGCTTTCAATAGTGCATCTCGTAAAGCTGAGTTAGATGTAACAACTTATCGCTTTGAAAATATGAACAATGTTGTGCCCCTCGTAGATAGAACACTTTTGCATCAGCTGATGATCGATGGTGCATTCCTCCCACAATATTCAACACTGCAGTGTGTGGTGATACAGAAAGGTGATAGTCAAGTTCCCATTTTGCTGTTTGTACCATTGCTGTACCATCTGTATCAGCTTGTATCACAGGAAGCTTCAGAAGCAGATGGCTCACTATATACAAGCACCTGTCTCAGCTGAAGGGAAGCTTCAGACGCAGATGGCTCACTATATACATCAGTGTTCATTCTAGAGCATGGCATTGTGGCATTGCTGCATTTATCTCAATTATGAGAAGAATTATCCAATCATAACCATTATTACAGGCATGTCAAATAATAAACAAATTATTGAAAAAGATGCATCTGCTGCTGTTGTTGGGCTAGCATCACCTCAGACTGACAGCATGTTCAATGGAAAGTAGTTGTCTTTGTTTCTTTGGCTTGTTTTTTAACATGATCCTACTCTTTTGTCACAGTTAGGCCTGTGTTTTTGGCAACTAGAATGAACACTGTCCACATCACACCAGCTGACGGCAGGTCTACTCCCAGCTTTCCCAGTCGTCATCCTGAAAGGTAGAGATCACACATTCAATTAATTACACCAGACTGTCCTGTATCATATGGAAGATAATCAGATCCAGCTACAAACTTCATCAAGACAAACATCATTCATCTAGTCACTGAAAATAGGATCAAACATCTAATTGTTTTTTTCATTTTCTTGTATGATTGTTTATTACGTGCGATGTTTGTAATAGTTTTTGGTTTTTGGTTCTCACTGCTAGAGATGAAAGCTACAATGAGAAATAAAATAAATCATAACCTTAGTTTGACCGACAAGGAGCCATTTGTAAGCTTATTAGTTAGAAATCAAAATAGTTTGCCTTACTTTTCCCATGATCTTTCACTACATGGCAACAGATTCAAACCGAAAGCCGTCACAAGTGAAATTGCCAAAGCTACCAAGTAAACCAGTAATCTCCCATTATCAGGTGGGTGTCAAGCAAAGTTTGTTTGTTTGTTGTTTAACGCCGCACTCAGCAATATTCCAGCTATATGACAGCGGTTTGTAAATAATCAAGCCTGAACCAGACAATCCAGTGATTGACATCCTGAGCATCGATCCACGCCATTGGGATCGATGACATGTATCAACCAAGTCAGCGTGCTTGACCACCCGATCCCGTTAGTCGCCTCTTACGACAAGCATGGGTTGCTGAAGACCTATTCTACCCCGGATCTTCACGGGTCGCCTTTTACGGCAAGCATGGGTTGCTGAAGACCTATTCTACCCCTGATCTTCACGGGTCCCCTTTTACGGCAAGCATGGGTTGCTGAAGACCTATTCTACCCCCGAACTTCACGTCAACCATGGGTTGCTGAAGACCTATTCTACCCCGGATCTTCACGGTGGGACAAGCATGGGTTGCTGAAGACCTATTCTACCCCGGGTATTCACGGGTCGCCTTTTACGGCAAGCATGGGTTGCTGAAGACCTATTCTACCCCGGATCTTCACGGGTTGTCTTTTACGGCAAGCATGGGTCGCTGAAGATCTATTCTACCCCGGATCTTCACGGGGGGACAAGCATGGATTGCTGAAGAACTATTCTACCCCAGATCTTCACTGGGGGACAAGGATGGGTTGCTGAAGACCTATTCTACCCCCGATCTTCACGGGTCTGTCATGCAAAGACAGGGTGGGGTGGGGACAATTTTAATTTTTCAAAATACCCGCTGTAGGTCTCAAGAGATAGGTGCAATGCGTCTGATTGGGAATAGGTTGACAGTAGCCCTGACAAAATGTATTTAGATACACGTACAAAACGATCTTGTCATGCATACACTGAAGTAGACTGAAGTTTTATCTTTATTCAAACATATAAAAGTTATGAAGAAATGCGAACATCAGTGACTTGTCCTGTAACCATGGAGTTACATGTATAGTGAATTTTTTTCATGAAACAATATATTTAATGACTAACCACGGGTCTTGGTAGTACTCTGGGTACCCGGTCCTACTCAGCACCCACCTGACCTGAGATCCCGAGTTACCCGTCCCAGTCCTACCACAACCCCTATAATAAAGGACCAATCCTCTATCATCTACTTTTTGCCAATAAATATAGAGAGAGATATTTCACATGTAGTCTTTTTCTGTATGTCATGACCAAATTGGTAAATAAGTCACACATTTACTATTGTTTACTCAAAACTGAGTCTGATGCTAGAAGTCTTAGATAAGACTGTATTGTTTAGGCACGTGCGTGGATGATAGTCCAATGATATTCGGCCTGGTGTTATTGTGATATTCCAAGAAATCTAGTTACCCCAACATCTTCACTGGTGCCTATTTTCTTGGCAATGGCTTCGGCAGTCTTCAAGTCTTCCTCTGTCAACTCCACATCAAAGTCCTGCTCCCAATCATCATCCACACTTGGTTCTGGAACCAATCGCAGGTAGTCTGTTGTAGCCATGGCAACAGAGACACAACATCAACATGCATGCAGGATAGAAAGAAAAACAAAGCAAAGACACAAAGTCAAAATAATACTCAAAATAGTGAAAAACATAATCATCATATTATGATTGAAAAAAGAAAGGATAGTTAAAAGTCAAATACATAAATAACATATATAGTGTAATTATTAAAAGAAAACATTAGCCTGGTAATACATACACCTGAAAAATAATTAAGCACTACACACTATTTATTTCAATAAAGCCATGTTTTAAAAACTTAAGTATTTATTTTCCGTGAAACACTTTTGTTTTTTGTTTACATAGTGACATGCTCTTACTGAAATTCAGAAATTGAAATGGAGTATGTAGCTGCATGTGGTGTAGCTGTTCCATGGCAACAGTTGCCGCCACATTCAGCTGCTTCCCCTACTTCATATAATCATGACAGTATGACCCTGAACCTGCGGCCACGTGCAGAAACATACACACATGATACAGGCGCCTTTATCCAGCTTTCATCAGGTGTCGATATCATAGCCATGTGTCACAACCACATCAATGTCATGTGTAGATACTTTATAAATATACACGATATAGGAAAATATAGAACATGTAGAAGGGGTGTTGCCTCACTATTTTCCAAGTGTATATGGTCAGTAATATAAGGAAGAGGATCACCTGGTCACTTATTATGAAACAGGGCCTCAAGAAGCTGATACAAACATTCATTTCTAACTATCTTCACTATTCACCATGTTCACGAATTCACAAAGAAAATCTATTGGGGGGGGGGGGGGGAGAAGGGGTCACCCCTCCTTGAATGTTTCTCTAGTTCCAAGTCATGACAACCCTCCCCAGTGTCCCATGACAACCCTCCCTAGTGTCTCATGACAACCCGCCCCAGTGTACCCTGACAACCCTCCCCAGTGTATCATGACAACCCTCCCAAGTGACCTTAGATGTCATCACTTCCGGTTGATCACATGGTAGCTGTGAGAGGGTTGGCTTCACAACTGGTTGGAACAACCTTTTCTTCAGCCTAGACCTTGCACAGCCTCGTTTATGTCAAAAAGTAAGCAGTAAATGCATCAAGGAGTAATGCAGGATAAGTTAAAAAACTACTGAAATAGTAGAAATGATGCCAAAAGACAGTGTCGGGCAGTAGAATCAATAGTATTTGACCCAAACATGCTTCTTCCTTCCTACCCAGTGAAATGTTCTTCCCTTTAGTAATTCTCCCCCGTCCCTCCCTCATAGTAAATGCTCTGTACTCAAGCTGGACTACATCTGAAATGGGAAATCATTATTATTACCTTTATTCCCACTGGAATCTGATGTTGGTGATTCCCGGTCGGATCCCACAACTACCAAGTCTCCTTTCACCTTTGTCTTCAGATCTTCACCATCACCTCCTTTAACAACTGAGTTGTCTCCCTTCCCTGCCTCTTTGGTAGGGGAGGATGGAAGTTCAACACAAGGAGATGATTGTGTCTCAGTAGGCTCAGACTTGTCTTGTACTGAAGGCTTTTCAGTCGTCTGTTCTTTCACAACATCAGCCTGTGTCGTGGTCTGTGGAAGGTCTGCTGATGGTTGTGGAGACTTGGATGAAAGTGCTGAGATTCCAAGATGGTCAGTCGCCAAAGAAGAAACATTCTGTTGGTCAGAGGTCACAGCGGAAACATTATGTTGGTCAGTGGCTACAGTTTGAACAATTGGCAAGTCCTTTGTTTCAATGTCAGTGGAAAGTTTTTCCGAAACCTTGTTCTTTTTAGTTTCTTGTTTTTGTAGACTGGTGACTTCTGCTGGTGACGTACCACTGTCTTGTTCTGCTTCAGTCTCAGGTTTTTTTTGGTCGTTCACATCTTGTAAAGAAACACTCTCATCTGTCCTCTTGTCAGGTGTTCTGTGTTCAGCAGCTAGATCGGACTTACTCTTCACTGACGGACTCTCAGCATCAGGTGCCTTGAGTCTGGATTCCACAGTCTCCGTACTGGAAATGTCCTTGACCTCTACTTCTGGTTCAAGACGTGAGTGTACAGTATCCTCTCCTCGAATGTCCTTCAGTTCTCCAGCAGTCACCGTCTCAAACTCGTCACATTCATCTCCGCTCCAGTCATCTACACAGATATCAAACCAGCACATATCAATATAAAAAACAATGAAAAGAAAACATGGACACCCATCTTATGTAAGAAAGAGACAAAAAATTCATTGGAGTCCTTTTTAAGGATGACAAGTGCGTGACTGACCACTTATTATTCTCGAGGGGGAATATGGGAAGGAGAGGGATTTTAGACAACCTAATGGATCAGACTCAGTGACTTGGTTGTCACTGCATGGGTTATTGCTCATCATATCAGTTACTGGTTTGCAGGCCGCTGCCATATGGCTGGAATACTGATGAGTGTAGCTCTCACTAACAAACACACAAACAATCATACATCCTGACATACTACCTTCCCATCCTAGGCTGTCATCCTCCGTGGGGGTCTCGGCTCGTTTCATCAGCGCCTGTTTGCGAGCCTCGTCCTGCTGGAGCTGGAACACCTTGTAGAAGTACCGCTGCCAGAACTCCGAGTGGGACAGCTCAGAGGGCACCTGCAATAATGCAGTACTGGTTACCATAGTTACAACACAAGTAGGTCACAATACCTTTGTTTCTGGCAACCCCCTTGACCTTGCAAAATAGCTCCTAACAAACGAAGTCTGTTGCCCACTTTTACATAGTTTTTTATACAATCCCAAATGAAAATTCAATTCAGAAAACCATCGAAGAGCTAAAAGGAGTTATGCATCATTTGTGCTGAATGGATACATAATGGTCTGTCTTTGGTACCCCCACTTTCAAGCCTGGGACCCCCAAAAGCATGACTGCGAGTCCCCAGGCCTCACAAATAGAAAGAGCAGGGTAACCCCGCTCCTTAGTTCCCCCACAAGTGCACCTTCTGTTTCAACTCACCAGTTTGGTGTAGAGAGCCCGAACTTCCACCTTCACAACTAGAAGCTCCGAGATGGCTCCTTTCTGCTCCTCTAGATTAAACTTCTCCAGCCACTGCTGGAACTCCTTAGGGGGGCCACTGGGTTCATTCAGGTATGTGCCGGGATCGACCTGGACAGCATGCAGCCGCACCTGAAGTCAGTCAGAAATATTGTCAAACATTTCTGGTACAACCTGTACATGATATAGATCTGAAAACAAGACAGGAATCACATAAAGGAACAGAAAACAATGTCATTGTTTTCGGATAGGACATTAATATCATATATGACAATAATGGACCGAGTATTATACCCACAAAGTCTGAAAGAGGAACAACATGGCTGATGCATAGTCCTGTGGTGTTCGTCCCTGTGATCAAGACTCTTTGTCAGTAAAACCGCCTCCGTGGTCTAGTGGTAGAGCGTCCGCCCGGAGAGCGGAAGGTCCGGGGTTCGATCCCCTGCCGCGTCATACCAAAAGACGTTAAAAGATGGTACTTGTTGTTACCCTGTCTGGCGCTCGACATTAAGGGGCTAAAACAAGGACTGGTCGGCTCGGAGTCAGTATACTGTGTCTGAGTGGGATATTCATGTTAAACTGCGGCATGGTATCTCAGTGAGCTAGCACTATAATTTGGCATCAGTCCGGACTAGTACAAGCAGCCACACAAACACACACACGTACATGCACGTCGCTATATAAGTGCAATAATCTTGGACGCGACGTTAAACCCCATTTCACCTCACCTTTGTCAGTAAATCTGAAGCTGTAACTTAATATCACTGCTCCTACAGAAGTCCTACCTTTGAGCGGTCATACAACATGCCAGCCGTGCCCCGATCTCTTGGCTTGACCGTCTCTTCCTTGTCTTCAGCAGGAATCTTCAGTGCGCTAGACACTCCTTCGAAGAAACCAGTGATGCTCTGCTTCATCTTATCCTTGGCTGCCTCAGTGTTCTCAGCCTAAAAGCAAAGGTTTCCACAACCAAATCATGCAAAACCTTCACACTGAGTCAGTAAGTAGGGTCTAGTGCTGCGTTGAACAGTATTTCAGTTATCTCACAGCTTGATAGGGGACGAAAGCTTGAAGTCATGCAGGTCATTAGCTTGATCCTCACTAGCACAGGTATTGTGCTGTAGTAATTATACCAGGATACAGGATACAATAACCTATATGTTTATTCGACTTGTATAGGCCTACATTGCAATCAACAGATCCTACTGATAAATTCTGAGGTGTCTTAACATTGCATTCAAAGCACTAATGTAAAACTCAGCATTAAAGCATCTTCCTCTATTGGCCCTGTTATCAGTTCTATACAAGTTACCTCTATAAAACTATTATTAACATGAACTGGGAAAAGTTCAATTCCAATTTGGGGATCTGTATTGATATTTACTACAGACTTCGTTCCATATTTGTGGCCTCTGAGCAAGTCTAGAAAAAACCCAGGATCATGTGGATTGCAAGTACTATCATGTATTTTATCAATATGTACATGATGTATCGTTCACAGAAATCCAGGTATATTAAAAAGTAAATGTTTGTTTGTTGTTTAACACCGCACTCAGCAATATTCCAGCTATATGATGGCAGTCTGTAAATAATCGAGTCTGGACCAGACAATCCAGTGATTGATATCACTCATTCAGAATACGATGATAACCAAGTCACTGAGCCTGACCGCCCCATCCCGTTAGTCTCCTCTTACAACAAGCAAAGTCACCTTTTATGGCAAGCCAGGGTTCAATTCAATTCTACCCCGGATCTTCACGGGTCTAAAAATTAAATGTTTTTTGAACATTTGGTTTGTGTGACACAACACTGAATGAGGAAAACATTGGGGAAATCAATTCCTGCTGATGCTGTATAGGTTGTCTGTTTCTCAGGCATGACCAATGTACCTTGAGAGTATCTTGAATCGTGGTGCTGGTGACCTTGACAGCAGCAGTTGTGTCATGTTGCATTGTAGATGTGAATTCTGCCAGATCCTTCTTGACAAAGTCCATGGCCGAGTTTGTCTAGTTTCATAAATGTAGAAAGTATTGTCGATCCAGTTAAATGATTTCATCAAAGATTGATCGGTTTCAGTATCCAACTAAGGAATCATTTATGAAATCATTGATTGATTATTTTCCCAAAATAATGATCATCCTCAGCATCATGAGCCATCCTCTGTATCTCAAGGACTAGCATTTTGGTAACCCTACAATAACCCCTGGATCCATTTCCGTGGTTCTTGCAATCACAAATTACCCATCCTTGAAAATCCCATTTGCCAATTTGATTGGCTATGCTGCTAGGTCTAACGTACCAATCAGAATGCAAGTTACAAACCAGCCTCTATGTTAGGTTTGCAATATCAACAACAAGGCAACCAGTCCCATTGATTATAATCGAGTTTGCGAGAAATCTAACACTGAAAGGCAAAAGAAACCCCTCAAAATCAATTTGATGGAAAGGATGTCTTCATGTTCATTAAAACTGGCAACGGCTTTGATTTCTAGGCAATACAAGATACCTCTGTTACCCATTTCATTTTTGCTCAATGTTTGATTGGTCAGTAAAATTTTAATGAAAATCAAGGGAGGGTAATTTGTGATTGCGAGAACCATGGGAATGGATCCAAGGGGTGGTCAAGGTTTACTGAAATGCAAGCCCTGGAGATATAGAGGATGATAATCATGATCATGAATAGTTCATTACAATGAATTTACTGGGTCTGATAAAACTGACAGGTATTGAAACCCTAAACTCTCACAGGAGACTTTATAGCATATTTCTGTAGTAATGTCTCCATGGCAGAGCATAGTAAAACATCATCTAATGTTTTCGCAAAGATTTGTCTAAATTTATGAATTTTCTATTCTTGTTCTTGTTTGATTGATCATGATGTTTTCAAACCAATGATCAATCTAGAAATTTCAACCAATGCCTTATAACAGTAGAATAAAACTCCATATTATCAATTATATTATAGTTTGGTTGGTTGGTTGGTTGGTTGGTTGGTTTGTTGTTTAACGCCGCACTCAGCAATATTCCAGCTATATGACGGCGGTCTGTAAATAATCAAGTCTGGACCAGACAATCCAGTGATTGATATCATGAGCATCGATCCATGCAATTGGGATCGATGACAGTCATCAACCAATTCAGCGAGCCTGACCCCCCGATCCCGTTAGTCGCCTTTTACGACAAGCATAGTTGCCTTTTACGGCAAGCATGGGTTGCTGAAGACCTATTCTACCCCGGAATCTTCACGGGTCCAATTATATTATAATTTATAGGTACGCAATTTCATTTTGGCTATACAATGACATGTCAACTTTAATGTCAGGGGAAAACCAACACAGATGCAGGTCATTGATGTTTACCACTTTGGCATAAACACACCATCGTGGAGCTGATACATTAAAGATCATTATCGATTATGGAGGCAAAACTGTTTAACAATGAACATGATGGAATCAGAACAGTGACAATGATCAAGTATGACCATATACAAACCTTTTCTTTAGCAGCCTGTAGCCATCCACCCCACCAGGAACCGCCATCACTTGCTCCGCTGCTGTGGAAACATGAAGGAATTGTCTAAAACGATCTCAGTGTCATGTCTATCCATTGAAAGTGATTGATCAGCTGTTGATCAGAAAACAATGACCGACATGAGAAAGATTATTTTATCCTTCTCGGAGTTCTCTACTGTAACCTATATATAACTGGCAGCTGTGGAGAAAATCAAACTTAACATACGATACAAGTTATAAGAGAGATTGTCAATGTCATATTAGAATGTAAGAAGCATGTAGGAGTATTCTGAAAGTAACAAGTCTACGAAATGTAGGCCAAGTAGACAAATTTGCAATCAATTTGGGGGCACTCATCAACGGCCTTTTTCGTAAATGCAACATCTCCTCTTTCATAATTTAGCGATCATTTCAATTAAGAAACAAATAATCATTCATTCTGCAATTTTAAGACGAAAATTCTTCTTGAACAACGCTATAAACGGCCCTTTATTACGTTGCAGTTATTGTCTACTGACCTGTCAGCCATGTTTGTTGTTTTCTAACCTCGTACCCAAAGCGATATGTGAATAAATATCGGAACTATTTTATTGTAATGACTAATATTGCAATGGGCTGTATTGTGTTAGTTGTATGAATGTGTACTCGCATTATATATGTAAGAATGTTATCAACTGTCCCTCTCAAATAGATTATTATTTACACACAGGTTATTTTTAGTAGGCGAGCACGTGATTTACTTGACTGAACTCCTGGATACAGCGCGCAGCGGGATGCGGCCGAACCAGTCTATTCGATTGTAGCCAATCGAATGCCAGCTTTCCTCGTGTGTTTTTAAACTTTTATCGAAGATTGTTGATAATGTGATACCAAAAGGGCTCAAGGATGAACGATATTCTATTTATCACCCAACCTCATTCTTCCAACAATAAAAAAAACAGTGTTTTGAGTGTAAAACGTACAGCCTCTGTGGCAACGCGATTATAGCGAGGACATTTGAATGTGACGTCATGGTAATCGATGGCGTCACAATGGTCAGCAAAGCATTGTGATTCAATTTCATTGTAGGTGATATCGCTTGAATGATTGTCTCGGCCATCCGATATATCTAGACTAATATGTCTCCTGTGTAAGACAGGAGATCAGCTAGGACAGAATTATTTAGGGATCATGAATATTTTGGGGGATATTTTTATCAGTTTGTTTGCTCAGTCTTCACTACACACAAATCCCCCAAATATTCAAGATCCCTAACGTTTCATCTTCCCGAGGCAAGAGAGATAACTGACTATAAAAGTCAAGTTTCCAGCCTTGCCGAACTAGGCTGGTATTATGGAGTAAGATTTCGGCTGGACTAACGAGTCTGTGCATAGTCCAATGAAAATCGCGCATCGAAATCGAAATCCGGTTCGTAAACTGTCATGCAGATTTCGATCGATTGCAGGATTTTTACAGCATGTGCACCGCCAACTCGTTGTCAACAGATATTTTCCAAATCTTTTCAAGTTTTTAATCCAGGTGCTCACGTGATTTGATGCGATGTTAGACCCGTTTTCTCACAATATAGATCTTGATTGTCGATCAGATCGTCTTAAGTGGGCGCCACCATTTTGTTTGAAGCTAACGCAAGTGATACAAGAGGTGGAACCTGATTGGTCCATAGGAGAGGCATAGAAGGGACCTGAATCATAACAGCCACTGGTGGCGCTACGATCGAGCCCAGGAATTCCAGCCTAGTTCGGCAAGGGTGAAAACTGGACTTTTTAAGTCAGTTAACTCTAGATCTCTTGCCTCGGGAAGATGTAACCTTTTTGTTCAGTATAGTTTTATATGAGGCGCCGTATTACTATTTATCAGTAATATATTTTATCAGTAACAGTGGACCCGTGAGTCGCTATATGACTGAAATATTGCCGATGCGACGTTAAATTTTAACTCACTCACTCACTGGACCCGTGAAGATCCGGAGTAGAATTGGTCTTCAGCAACCCATGCGGGATCGGGTGGTCAGACTTGGTTGATGCATGTCATCGTATCCCAATTGCGTGGATTGTCTGGTCCGGACCGCCGTCATATAGCTGGAATATTGCTGAGAGCGGCGTTAAACAACAAACAAGATCCTGACCTCCCGATCCCGTTAGTCGCCTCTTACAACAAGCATAATCGTCTGTTACGACCAGCATGGGTTGCTTAAGGCCTATTCTCTACCCTGATCGGGGCGGTCGGGTAGCCTAGTGGTTAAAGCGTTCGATTCCCGACATGGGTACAATGTGTGAAGCCCATTTCTGGTGTCCCCTGCCGTGATATTGCTGGAATATTGCTAAAAGCGGCATAAAACCATACTCACTCACTCACTCACTCCTAGGTTTTACATCCAAAAAATGATTTTGGAATATTAATAATTCATTTATTGAATAAGAATACAATATATTGGGATTAAATCATAAAATGTATCATTTGTTAAACTTACTTCCAGCCGTGATATCACCGGAATATTGTTCAAAGCGGCGAAACCCAGCTCACTCACCATACCACGAGGTGGTCATTGAACGCGGGTATTTCCCAAATTATCCAATATATAGTATAATTATCTTATTATTATCTATAATAAATAGTGTCACATTGTGTTTATAAATAACGCAGGCTACATTCGACACCGTCTCACGTCATTCGTATGGGTGGGTGTACACAGGTGAATACATATTCATTGGTCAGTTGAACTGAGGCTCCGCCCTGTATTCAAATTAGGTTTCCTGGCGTATGTGGCCTGTGTAATCATGAAAGGGACGCCGATATGGCGGCCTCGAGTAACTACGATGATGATCGACTCTGGTCTCCCGAAACCTGTAAATTGAGTGACATTGTTCCTGAAATTCCAACTCTTGTACGAGTTACTGAAGGAATATACAGTCTCAACGATGCCGGGACTTTCAGTCAAGGGGATCTTATAAAAATCGACACCTGTCAGTCCTTGAAGCGGGTGACAGCGTATCTCACTAAACCAGGAAGTGATTCGAGGTATGCATTCTCATTAACAGTGGCAACCGACCTGGCGCGTTAGACATTGTTTCATGCTTTTAAATGATATGGCAAAATACACATGTATATAAAAGCGTTAAATGATTAAGATAATGGTCGATATTATTCAAACACGTCATTCAAGCGTGGACGGGCTGTGGGTGAGTTAGACCTGTAAAGGGCGTCGCTAGGGTAATGCTGGAGGCCTGCACACACACACACACACACACACACACACCTCACCCCCGCGCGGCGCGGCGGTACCTTCCGGTGTACTACTACGGATGTTATATATAGTTTGGTACTTCAGGAAAATGGTGTCTTTAGAAGTCTTGAGAGAACATGAACCTTATAAGTGTATTCATTCATACTCTGTCGCATAAAACGTGTCAACAAATTGTTACTTATGTCATACATGTAGTTGGTATCGATTATATTCCCGGTATTGGGAAGTTCTTTATGTGGAGGAGAAGATAAGAGTAACTGTTTTGTGTGTTCTCTAACTTAAAACACATCTCTACTTTTAGATTTTGAAACTAAACATTATTTTGCCAAAAAAATACCAGAACACTTTATCGTATACGTATTTAGAAAGTGTGACTCGCCCTAACTGGATGCATGTGGAATGGTCTCTCGTGCTGCTGCAAGTGCACCAAGCTCCTTCGCGAATGTGTGAGTGAGTTAAAATTGGCGATGATAAAAAGTTAATTATTATCAAAAACCGTTCAACAAAGGACAGTGAAACAGTCCTTCGCGAGTTGATCTTTACAATTCATGGTACAAGGCTCTTTAAACATGTGTCGGGTCCTAAAGATAATTTTACCAATCAAAGTTTCGAGAACAAACTGACGAGGCTTATTTGAAATATATATCTCAGAAAAAGGATGCGTTTCTTATGTTTATTGCTCATCACGAAGTTATCTTATTACTTTCACATGAAAATCATGTTATTATAATTTTACAACATTTTACATATATTTTTTCAAGTGAAAAACATATGTAATAGGGCTTGTACCCATGCGTGTCGTAAGAGGCGACTAACGGGATCTGACGTGGTTGATGCATGTCATCCTATCCCAATTGCGTAGATCGATGCTCATGATGTTAATCGCTGGACTGTCTGGTCCAGAAGAGATTATTTACAGACCGCCGTCATATAGCTGGAATATTGCTGAGTGACTGAGTGAATTGGGTTTAACGCTGCTTTAAACAGTATTCCAGTTATGTCGGCGTGTCAGCTTGATGTGGGAGGAAAGCCCGAAGTGGTGCAGGTCTCAGATGTTTACCACTTCGGTGAAACCCATGAGTTTCACCAGCACGGGTATGGTGCTGACAAACCTAGGAAATTAATCGGGGTGAACCGGGATTCGAACTGTCAATCATAGGTTCCTGGCGTGCCCAAGGGACGCAACTCTGCACAGCCATCCGTGCCCCCTATTGCTGAGTGAGGCGTGAAACAACAAACAAACAAACACTGAGGGGCGACGGTGTACCTTAAATTAGTGGTTTAAGTGTTCGCTCGTCACGCCGAATGCCCGGGTTCGATTCTCCACATGGGTGCAATGTCGGAAGCCCATTTCCGGTTTCCCCGTCGTGATATTGCTGGAATATTTCTAAACGCGCCTAAAACCACACTCACTCACTGACCGCCTCCGTGGTCTAGTGGTAGAGCGTCCGCCCGGAGAGCGGAAGGTGCGGGGTTGGATCCCGGCCGCGTCATACCAAAAGACGTATAAAGATGGTACTTGTTGTTACCCTGTCTGGCGCTCGGCATTTAGGGGATAAAACAAGGAACGGTCGGCTCGGAATCAGTAAACTGTGTCTGAGTGGGGTATTCATGTTAAACTGTGGCATGGTATCTCAGTGTGCTAGCACTATAAATCGACATCAGTCCGGACTAGTACAAGCAGCCACACACACACACGCACGCACGTACGCACGCACGTACGCACACACACACACACACACACACACACACACACACGTGCATGCACGTCGCTATATAAGTTTAATACTCTTTGACGCGACGTTAAAACCCATGATAGTGTGTACTGGTATGTTTAGGTGACCTATCACAAGGTCCACGCGTAATAACGACCATTAGTATATACACACAGTGTGATAGTGATATACAAACCCGATACAACCTAGTATCGCACTCTGATAAATATGCAAGTTAGGACACATAAACCACCTAACTACTTATCACAAGTTTCACATATCAATGCAATATCTACTAGGTCAATACTATTTGCCTAAAGTTCCTAACGCTCAAATTTAGATAAGGTGAGCATATATCATTATATTACGACAGCACTGTCACAACTCATGAATATTAAATATTTTGTGGCTGACAATTTCCTTTTTCTCAAGAATCGGAAGCATTATTCTAATTTTCAAGCTCTTTCTGGGATTACATAACCCCAGGCCTCCTATATAATATAGGCGGTTCAAACATGATTTCTAAGTCGCATTAGTCAGTGAAACTGCGGCTTAAACGATGCTTTTAAGAACGACATAATGCAGTGAGAGTAGTCCCCGCGTGAGCTTCCGTGTCATTCGTGACCAACTCGTGTTATTCCGGGACAAGCCATTCTTGCAGGTTACGGAAAGGGGCGAGTGTTGACGAATGCTTCCGTGTCACAAGTATCACAAACAATGAAATTGCATCGGCTCATCAAGGGTTCGCACAACACAATCAGTGTTGTGTTTATGATACGGAAACAAGTTCGGCTAGTTTATCCTTCATCCAGCTGTGTGTTTATCCTTTACCCAACTGCACGCTGATTCCTTATCCAACTACGTGTTTTACCCAACTGCCTGTTTATCCTTTATCCAACTGCCTGTTTATCCTTTATCCAACTGCTTGTTTATCCTTTCTTCGCCTGCATGTTTATCCTTTATCCAACTGCTTGTTTATCCTTTCTTCGCCTGCATGTTTATACTTTACCAAACTGCATGCTGATCCTTTATCAAACTGTGTGTTTATCCTTTATCCAACTTAATGCTTATCCTTTATCCAACTGCTTGTTTATCCTTTATCCGACTATTTGTGTATCCTTTATCTAACTGTTTGTTTATACTTTACCCAACTGCATGCTGATCTTTCATTCAACTGTGTGTTTATGCTATATCAACTGTGTGTTTATCCTTTATCAAACTGCGTGTTTATCCTTCATCCAACTGTGTGTTTATCCTTTACCCAACTGCACGCTGATTCCTTATCTTTATCCACCTGCATGTTTCTTCTTTATCCACCTGCATGTTTCTTCTTGATCCAACTGCATGATTATCCTTTACCCAACTGTTTGTTTATCCTTTATCCAACTGCTTGTTTATCTTTATCCAACTGCTTGTTTATCGTTTATCCAACTGCATGTTTATCGTTTATCCAACTGCATGTTTATCCTTTATCCAACTGCATGTTTATCCTTTATCCAACTGCATGTTTATCTTTATCCAACTATTTTTTTATCTTTTATCCAACTGCATGTTTATCCTTTATCCAACTGCATGTTTATCCTTTATCCAACTGCATGTTTATCCTTTATCCAACTGCTTGTTTATCCTTTATCGAACTGCATGTTTATCCTTTATCCAACTGCTTGTTTATCCTTTATCGAACTGCATGTTTATCCTTTATCCAACTGCTTGTTTATCCTTTATCCAACTGCATGTTTATCCTTTATCCAACTGCTTGTTTATCGTTTATCCAACTGCATGTTTATCCTTTATCCAACTGCTTGTTTATCGTTATCCAACTGCATGTCTAGCTATCATGATGAGCACGGGAACACGAAGGACATATTGTTGTGTTCCGGTCGTTCCGCAGTATGCTAAGACCAACCCCTCTCTTTAGCTCTTATTCGAAAGAACTTGAATCGTTCTTTGGTGGGTCATCTAACAATGCAAGAGCAGCTATACACACTGACTTACAGAGGATACTTAACCAAATGTATGAGTGAGTGAATTGGGGTTAACGCTACTTTGAACAGTATTCCAGTTATATCACGGCGTGTCAGCTAAATCATCGTGCATAGCAACAAAACCTGGGATCCCTAGGGGCCAATATTAATTAGAAACTTCACTTCTATACGTGGCTATCCACAGTGACATGCATCAACCAGGTCAGCGAGCCCGATCACCCGATCCCGTTAGTCGCCTCTTACCACAAGCATAGTCGCTTTTTACGACAAGCATGGGTTGCTGAAGACCTATTCTACCCCGGATCTCCACGGGTCGCATAGATGATTGATAGATGAGGATAGATAACCGAAGTTCTGACTAAAACAATTGTCTTAATCAGAACTTCAGATACCTTTGTTATTGTACAGTGTGATGGCGAGGAAGTCCATGGTGTACCACTTTAGATGCGGAATCAAGATAATTTAAAAGAGGAAGTTTTAAGAAATGTACTCGCCACCAAGGATCATTCGGGCCCATATGGGTCCATATGTTATTTTCAAAGCAGGGCGAGGGTGAGGGTTTCTATAATTGGAGACAATCCCCCCCCCCCCAAAAAAAAAAAAAAAAAAAACACAAAAAAAAAAAAAACGCCCCCTAAAAAACAACCAACAAAATGCAAACAAACAAACATAAACAAAACCAAGTACACAAGAAAACCAAGTAAACAAAAGCACGCAAGCACATAGAGAATCGTGTACATTTCAAAGTGTGAGTTCGTGCTTGCCTGTATTATATATAGCATTGTGAGCTGTTATAGACAGCTAACATAGGAGTCTGGACAACACAGGCTAGCAGGTAAGAGTAGTAAGGTCGGTATAGCCCCGCAATTGTGAACAGTGGCAACCAACTAGGAAGTAGTAGCATGACTCCGCGGTCGTCAATGACAACCATATCAATCCTATGTATATCCATCATGTAGTCGTGTGTATCATCTTGCGCCTACCTGGAAGCACATCCTTAAATCGTCAAATACCAAGGTTAGAATCTAAAAATTGTATTATACAATGTTAATAAATACAGTTGCCTTACTTAAA